TGCTTGGTCATTGCATGAGAAGAAATTACAGCTGCATCTCACTTATAATATCGAGCTAGACAGCCAGAATGATTGCTTCCTGTACAGACAGAATCGTTACGGATAACAAGTAGTGTTTGTACGTCAACATTAACTAAAATCCTGAACAGGTAGATTCAGCCAAATCTCCCAAAAGGTTATTCTTGGCGTTCGGTGGGCTTGCAAGTGCCCAGTTCACTGGGAAACAAGCATTATCAAAGTTTCCCTCCTGAACTTCGAGCGGTGGGCTCTCTTGCATTTTCTATGATCTCTAGAGCTTACCTTCGATACGAATTAAGAACTCAAAATGTAACTGGAAAACTTCTCGAAGCCCGCCATATTCTGATGAGTCGACACATATCGTTTGATAGAAAAGTAGAAGAAAGTCATGTGCAGATGATAAGGTAATAACTTATTGTCACAGACGTGTTGTGTGTCGTAAGCGAAAAAGCGCGGACACATTCTGTCTGACCTAAAATATAAACGGTATATATCCTGCCAGCTGGTATTAAGCACAAAAACAGCGAAAAAAATCATTCAATTTTAGCAGTTGTCGAATGTGTATATAACACATAGCGAACCACGTAGTCGTTAGTAGAAGTAATGCGTAGTGCGCTCGTGCCATATACAAACTCGACGCGGCGTTGCAATCAGCTCGAGCAAATGCGCGTGTTCATAGAAGTCAACGTTGCACATTATTATTCTTCACACCACTTTTGTTTATATCATCCAAAACTAATCATCAAATTCTTCTTTTCTTGATTCTGGATAATTTTCTGTGATTATGGACAACCCTATATATTTTTTAACCAAAGCAAGTTTGGTCGCATAGCTGACTGTCAGCGTAGTACTGATATCCCTGTTTTAATAAGCTTACAGGATGCTTTGTCACCTCTATATTGTTTGACGAGATAATTTGAGAAGCTGGCCTTTACAGGTCAAAATACTGGGTTTACAAGTCGTGCTCTTGTTAGACGTGCCACTTGGTATATATCCACAACAGTGACTATCGAGATTGTTTTAAACAAATTTTTTTACTAATAAAGTAGACGTATGTGTTTTTTTGTCAGACCAATAGTGTGGGCAGTCGCAGCAGACGCTCCTAGTAAATCAAGCAGGTTTTAATGGAGGGTAATCACTTTCTATTTTATAACTTTCGTGATAAAGCTATTGGTGTCAAATGATTCGCTCTCTTCCGCCTCATATTATCCCGCCCTGGCGCAAAAAAAAAGGCGTATTTCTCTCGAAAACTAGTGAGTTGCTGTAAATCGTTTGCGGATTGCACGGCTTAAATGTCTTGTATAAATTTTTCTTTGGTGTCGACGGCTGTTCTGGTCACTTATAGAAGCAAGTTAAAAAAAAAAAAGATAGCTGAGAGATACTATCCAAGTAGCTACGGTTGCTTTATTTCGCAGCCTGTTGACGCAGGTTTTGGGCAAACTTTTGTATTCCTTGTTCATACTGTACTTCCATATCGGCTTCAAAAATATGATATGTTTCTGTTAGATTTCCTTTGAAGTACTAATGAAGACAGGCAAATATACTTCAATTTTTCGTAGTAAATTTAGAGTTCGAGAATCTGGATTCGGAACAGATTGCTCATGGGAATTTACAAAATGGATATTCGATAAGGAGGCCTTATCGGTGAGGGATAAATGCCAATGATTTTTTAAAATTTTTATTTTTGCTTGAAGCTTTGGTAAATAGCTCGATCATCGTTTATAACATTTAAGGAGCTGAATGTGATAGCTACTTAATTTTAAATCCGAATCTATTTATTTATACCCGTTATTTTTGCGGTGAGTGAAGTACTTAACATACCATGTGTCGAATTCCAATGTGTCAACCGACACATTACATTCTCGTAGACTCGTGCTGAAGTTTTTTTTTTGGCACGAGGGAACACAAAAAACCAGCAGCTAGCCCAGTATTTTGGTGGGGTGAGACCCAACGGTGACGAGAATAATAATATGACAGTTCTACCAAATATGATAGCGAGCAGACAATACAATTGCATTCAGATATTCCCCATTCTGATTCAAGCTTTGCAAATCTTAATCCAATTAAAGTAGCATACTTCTAAAAATGTCCTCGAGCCGCCACACGCTAAGAAGCCAATTTACGCTCTAAAAGGTTCAGTGCGATAAACTAAGGCCTTTACAGACCAACGTTCTTCGTCATCGAGAAGGCAAAGACCCACACCTTACACAAAAATAAAACTTTCGAATAACATAATCGCACTATGCCAAAAATCAGACACAGCTGGAAACGACGATGCCCCGCCGCATCAGCATCTGGAAGTTACAAGACACTTGAATGAGACTAGAAAAACAAAAGCAAACATAAGTCATGCGCCAAAAAGTAACTACAACGAGACAATTGTTTCATTGCACAAGGTCGGTACTTCAAACGAAACCTCGTACTGACACTCGTAGGCGAAACTTTTCAAAAGCATAACGGTGATAAGATATGCATCCAGTCCTACTTGTTACAAGAATCGGATTTAGTCTTAAAACACCATTTTTTGCAGCTTACGATAGCTTAAGCTCCTACATTCAGATGTAAGGTCGCTAAAGAAAAAAACAGTTACCATACAGTTTGTGCAGTTCTCTGCATCCAAAGACTAAGCTATCTGTTACGGTAGTAAATACAATGAAATAAGGTTTCAGATCCAGTAATCTACTATTTCGAACAAACTGTGTAGTTCGAGTCCAATCAAGATCGTTTGCACCCAGAACATTGTGTCTCGAGCACTAAGGTCTTGAGAGCCATAGGAATGTTAATCCATTCATGGTAACGCACATCCAATACCTTGCTCTATACGGAAGCTACGAGAGGTAGAACGTATGCCAAGGCTTAATATGACGAAAGTCCAACAAATTTTTTCGGATGATGACCTAAACTTTCAAAATAAGCTTGTCATTAAGGATATTATCAAGTGTTATCTATAATAATTTTATCTTTGCGATTTGTGTTACGACCTTACGCCTGAACTTCGAAAGATGTTCCTTTTCCAACACTGATAGCGATACCCTTATTTTGCACTTGTTCTGCATTTTCATACTAATGAAATATCTAAGAGGCGTATCATCTACATATAGCAAAACTTCCCGGTTAACGCTTTTCACCATATCATTTATAAGGCATAATAATAATACAAGAAGCTGTGCGGAACAAAAGCCCTTCTACAAACACACTATCAAAGGTTTCCCGTAAATTCATAAATAATAACTAGAAGGATGTTTCAATAGACGAATGGTTCTGTTTTATAAACTAAATTTGTTCTCGGTTCCTCAGGTCCAGCTACTCATTTCAGATTGGAATTAAACCAAGATCTGTAGTTTGCCATTGGTAAGCCATTTTTTAACGCGACACTGCTTCCGTGACAGCCATCGTGTTTGGGCGCTGGACACTCAGTCGAATTTAGGCATGATAGCGAATTCGGCTTGTGCAGATATTAAGAACGAATTTTTTGGTACTCGGGATCTTATGAAATGCTAGCGGAAGCCTCATGCTACCATGGAAAGTACTTAGAAGTAACGCCTTGAGAAGTATGACTCGGGTTTCTGGGCTTTAAGGAAGCCATTTCTTACTGAGGCGTTCTTTACTAGTGACCCAAAGATTTATCCATCGGTGCGGCGTTATTTCAGAGTAACGCCGTCAAAGCGATGGCTTTATACCCGATAAGCTATAGAAAAATTTAATCGTACTGAAGAGTTTGTATTGCTGGAAAGTATGGTCCCCTCATATAGTGACAGAGGGTCAAGCGTTGAGGAAAGCATCTTTTCCGTGGTGCTGTGTGACGATGTGGAATACCGTGACAGAATTTCTTTAAAGCCTATTTGTGCATTTTCCAAACAAATAGACATCATGGTGTGTCACAGGTTGTTTAACTCAAAGCTGGGATCACACTTTTTCATAGTGGCACAAATAATTTATCAACCGTTGAGTGTGAAATTGCATGGGGTACCAAGGGTATAAGTAGCTTGTATTTACAGTGTGTATTACGTTCATTGAAAGCATCGTAACTGGAGATTAACTGTTCATTAATGTATACACCTTTTACGCTCAAACAAAAATGCATTTGGACAGACAAGTGCTTGTCGCTGATCACCCTTTTGACAGACTTTATCCCCGTTTGAACACAACTAACACTTTTTGCTTTAGGTGCTGTGGTACTTTTCAGTTGTTTGCAATAATTGTAAAGCGTTATCAAAACCCTTCTCTTATAACTGGTATTTTTATTTTGAAGCACGTTTTAAGCCTTATTGAAACGTTTGTATGGACAAAGCAATAAGTCGGATCTAAGCAACACTTTATAGTTGGTTGAAACAAGTGCCACTTAGTTAAGCCTCTTTTCTGTACTTTCTAATTTGGACATCACAGCTTACATTGTGAATCAACCCATAAATGGCGCAGCGTGGGGCTCTAAGGCACTTCGGTTAAAGTCATGTTTGCGATATTCGAAATTTTGAAGCAGAAAAGATTCTCAAGTCATTAATTACTTATATATAAGGTATTCGGGTGTATTCGGAAATTTCTACTTGCCGCAAAACGCAGTCGTGAACTCTGTCCCTTTGACCCAATTGACTTATTTAGGATAATAATTATAAGAGTATTTTTCGATCGGTTTCTATTGGGAGTCATTCAAACCTTAACAGTGGTCATTAAAGTTCAACTAACTTAACATCAAACCGCTTAATTTTATTTTACTCAGTACGGAAAAAATGTTTATCGTAGCGTAGATTTTCCCTGTAAGCTGGGTCACGTGACTTATTGACAGTCCACTGATTAATTTTGACTCTTGTGTTACTGGTGTACCTCGTAAAATTAATTTGTATACGCAAAACGGGACATGGCAAAAATGGAAAGAGATTTCTTTCGTTAGTAAAATCAATAATGCAATAATATTATGTTTATAGTAAAGACGGACAACTTCTAATGATGAATAAAATCTGTGCTTTTTGATAACACGAAAACAGCTGCGAAGACCCAACAAGTGAGCGAAAGACGACATCCTACGGATGGCTAAGGTTATGTGGAAATCATGTTAATCAGTCACATAAAGCTTACTGGTAAGGATCGAACGATCCCAGAAAGAACTATAATTGCCATTTAAACCACATAATCTCGCACAGTCGCATGTTTATCAAGGTACGCGAGCCCAAAGACTATTTCGAATGTAGCCTACGGTAGTAATTTGTAATGAAGAACCGCGCAGCATAATTTCGAAAAAGAAATAAACTCCCGCGAGTGGTGTGTATTCCAGGTGCATTTGACAGAACTCATTATTTACAAAATTTCATTGAACTTTTATTTATTTTCACTGTAAATCGTATACATTTGCGATCTCAAAGTATATTGGGTTGTTTACAGATATTTTGACATTTTCGATATGTTTAACCTTCATGACAACTCAAGTCGTGGTGTCCTTAGTGTTTATTTTCTGGAGAAACGAGTCCGTATGCGAAACTGTTACAAAAACAACAAACGCATATGAAAGGAATTAAGCTGGTTCATATAGCAATACTTATCGCATCGACTGATAAAACACCTGCGATTACCGGATTTAAGATTCTGTGGAGTTCTCTAGACCTCACAATAGTGACTTTATTAGAAACATAATCACCGGAGAATGGATAGACAGAGGGTTGATACTTTATAATCAGCTGTAACCGATGATTTCGTCATAGCGCGTCAAATCATTTCTCTCTACCTACGCAAAGCCACGGACCCAAGATGAATCGCACTCGACCCTATTACGAAGTCTGCTGGAGTCCTAAAGACACCTCCAAGTAAGTTACGCGTACTTTATTCTTTAGATTTTTCTGTCTCAATTATACTATCATAGGCCATTCATAAACGACAGAGTTATGCACAGAGTCTTTCCGTGTTGATGAATGGTAGCCAAATACTGGTAGTCCATTTTCAAATTTTAATGCTGGTTTAAGTGGTTAAGAGATATTGATTTTATATAACAACTCACTAACGGATGTTACAAATTTTTCGTTAAGTGAAGAATAAGGTGATGCACACTGGGCAAAAATAGTATTGAGTTGAATAGTACCTTTATTTACACGAAGTGGGTGTGTCGCGTATTAAAAAACGATGCAGAGGCTTCATGGTTATAAAAACACGTGTACATTCTGCACGTAGAAGATTATCCCGCACGACGGCTTTAGGTGCTTCATAATATGTTTACTACGGATGTTTTCCACTCTGAATTCAAAAAGCTGATTCGTAATGCTCGCTTTGTGCACTTGCATGAAAATGCGAACATTTTGTTTTTCGAATAATGATTATAAAAGAGGTAGCTCGATTCGCTTAATAACGATCCAACAAGCACCTTCAATATAATCGTTTTAAGCACCGTTTTTAGGACAAATTCATCGCTTGTTGATTTATGTTTCATGAGATGTGCTCTACACCAGAGGACAGTGTAAAAGTTCAGATAAAATACTTGCTTTTCGCTAACGAGTTAAATATATTCGTTATAATTAGTCACAAAGCAGACGTATTTTACAGGATTTTTTTAAACTAAAAAACGCGGATTTTTCTTTGTTTATAAGCACCACGCATGGCTTTATCAGTACGCGTACGTTATGGATTAACGTCTAGTATTGCGGACACATCAATATCATTATCTTGAGTAATAAATGCAGTAACAACACATCATCAATTCAGTATGCAAGACCAAAAGCGATATTTCTCGAAACTACGAAAAGTGCTCCATTTCCGTCAAAACAATTCTTTTTGGATACGTTTAGTTTAAATAGGCACATTAATTAATAAGGCGCAACACTGGGCTCGAACACAAGCGAAGGATTTATTTAGGTTGGGTTTTGATATAAGTTTTAAAGAAAATGTTCATATAATTGGCCTCAGAATTTTAGTTCATTGGAACATCATGCTTACGCATACCGTAGACAGCATTTTATGTAAAGTCTTAAACTGTTCTGCGTCTACCCGTTTTCGGGTGGACATAGAGGAAGCTGTGGTCATCTACAGGCAGGAAAGCGAATTGCTTTTATTAAGGCTTCGCAGGTACCTGCACGACCTCTGAGACAAGACAATTTAGTGGAGTGCTCTCTTAAACACCGTTCGGTTACACTGAAATTATTCGTAACATATTAAAATTGAACTTTGTTTGAACGACAGGTTTCTGACAGCAAACTGTGAGGAGATTCGCTTGTATGAGGTCGTGAATCTATCGTCAGATGGAAAGGTTGTACATGGAGCTTCGCGCCTGTCTGAAAGCACTGCAGCAAAGCTTATATGGAAAACACCCGACATTAAAGGCATTCGTTGCATCGACTGGAACCCTAAGCCTTCACACAGAGGTTGTTTAAAAAAATTGATACAAATAACATTTTAAGCAGAAAACGTATGCAGTTTCATTGTTAACAGCTGTTATTAAGGTTAGCATCTAGAAACTTATCTCCTTTTACCACAACAGAACGGTTCACATATGTACAAAAAATACTGACATGATATTTTTAATATATATTTAATATTTATCTGGAATTGTGACTTTGTACACGAATGTTTTGTTATATTAGGTCGCAAGGGAAATTTTGCATTATATGAAAGCCATGCCATTATGGATAAATAATTACATCTGAGTAATATACTCATATAGATTTATTAATATCTACAGGTACCCTACTTGCTGTAGGTTGTGAAAACGGTGAAGTCGTGCTCTCGGGATACGGCACAGACGACCTTTCTGTCAGAGGACTTGTTCTTAACGCGAAATCGAGTAGCCACCAGGTATTATCGTGCATATGTGTTTTCTGCATGGAACAGTCTTTCTATTGAGTAACACTGTTTTACTCTTGTTTATGAGACAATGCGTCAAAAGTTTTTGAGTGTGGTCGCACCATTCTATTATCCCGGTTAGGATCTAAGTGATTAAACCTATTTTAGGTACCCAAGTAGTACTTGTAACCTGTCAGGCAATTTAGCAGCCGGCACAACAGTACTAGATCCAGGTAACAGCTGGGTAATGTCATGAAGGAGCTTACTCGTTTAGGAAGCGTCAATGGAGGCCTGTTATTTGAATAAGATATGAAGTACTCCCTGAAGTATGCGCGCTAGTAAATCGTTTTTTGGAGCTGTGTTCAAAACCATGTCATGTTTGCTTAATTGAGTCGTACACATATAATGACAAATATATGTATTCCGAATCGTGCATTCATGGTTTTGGGTTTCCCCTATTAGCATTCATATGTACACAGATTTCTGCTTTGACTTTTATGCTTTTAATGGCATTGTCGCGACATGTTTGTTGAGCAAGTCGAAGGTAATGAAGATCTTAAGAGTGACTAGCAATTGGGATCTACTTGGTTTGTTTCGCACAGGTCCGACCCTGTAATGATGTTCGATGGCATCCACGAGACCTTAAGTTGGCGTGCGCCTTTGAGCGAAGCCGCGGAGAATGTGCCGTGCAGGTGTTCGACGTGGATCAGCTTCAACGTACTGATAATTCTACAGATGACTCCATTAGCTGGTAATGTCTAACAGAATAGTAATGTTCTTCGTCGGCTACCTTCCACGTTACGATAGGTATATTTATATACATACACATTTCATTATTACATTTACACATTTCCCAAAATGTAAACGTAGTAGGAAAAAATAAAAACAAATAAATACGTTCTTTTACACATCAATTACAACTCCAAAGTAAATGTCCATGTAGTACACATTTATAATTTGCAAAACATATATTCTCTGTGATTACGTTTAGTATTACTATATAAAATAATGTATATATATGGAAAATTGGCCATTTATCATTTGTAACAGGCTGAACTGTTCTTATTGATCAATTTGCCATTTTGAGAAAATGGTTAAAAAAATATTGTTATTGTGTGACTGAGTTGTTCAAGTCTTACTATGCTGTCATTGTATTAATGTTCAAGTTCAAACTGTCTACGTCCTTGATGCGTGAGGTGCCCAACAGCTAAAAAACAACTCTCTGTATTAATTGCCTGCTATGGCTGTTTCTATAATTGCAATTATCTGCGATTCAATTTTTTTTCTTTTAGTAAACCTCTGGTTCAGTTTGCTCATCAAGAAGCATCGCAGTCTGTCTGTTTTGCTCCGGCTGACTCGAATTATCCCTCGGCAGTGGTTTGTAGCACCTCAGGACGAAAATTGCGCGTGTTTGACTTGCGCGAAGGCTCCACAGCTGCGGCGGTCACAACCGTTTCAGGCAACACATCTGCAGTACATGCGCTTACCTTCGATCCATACAACGCTAATAGACTAGCTTCCGTCGGAATGGTATTTGTCTTGACTTTCACCTTGATAATATGCTCTGCTGGTGTGTGCTTTCGGCCTTTAATTAAATGTGGGTGAATCCGCTTTTTCTTCATTGAAACGCATTGAGAACACTAGCACCGGAAACTGTTATTTTGTCCTCCTTCAAGGAATTAGAACATAACCAGCTTTTATTTTGCCCACGGAAAGCATATTCCCTAGAAACAAATATCTACTGACTTCCATACGTCGTACTTTTTTTTTATTTGGGAAGTTCTTTATATTCGAATATTTTATCTAGATATATATGTATAGATACCTTTCAAAGAAATATTAAGTCTAGCGGAAGTCGACAAGACGGTCTTCTTTACTACCGGGGTAATGGTACTAAGGATTTGAAAAATATTGGGAAGTGGCAAGAAATCTCGTTACCTTAAATATACTCTACTGAGTTAAGATTTTAGTTTCTTTAAAGGAAGCTCAATAAGGAACTGATGATTACGTTTTAAAACGCAAGGAAAATGTCAAAAGGAATGCACTTCATGTACCCCCCTGAAAGAGCATTAAGCTCACGGAAAAACGTGTGCAGGACTTCTAGACAATTCATACAAGTCGATCTAAAGAAGCGTGAAGAACTCAATGCCCTGGTATCGCCGTAAGATATTTTACAAGATCAATATTCATCTATATTCATGTTTTATTCTTTAGGACTCGATGTGTATCTGGGATCTGCGCAACTTAACGCAACCAATGATTACTGTTCGGGACCCAGCGGCACAGGGAATTTCTAAATTACGCTGGTGCCCCAACCGATCAAACCAGCTGACTGCCATTCGACACGACTGCAGTCAGTTGACTCTATTTACGGTGCGAGATATGATGCAACACCCAGACTCTGGGCGGGAACTTCATGCCACTACGATAGCTGTTGAGCAGCAGCACCATACAGGAACGCCGGCCAGCTCACTCCACAGTGAACGACAACAACAACAGCAACAACAACAACAACAACAACAACAACAACAACAACATCACCACCAGCAGCAGCAGCAACAGCAGCAGCATGATCATACTGTTATTCGGCAGTTGCAGCGTATGTCTGACAAAACTTACACTGAGATTTTGAAAAAATTTTCTATGAATTGATGATTGGTACTTTCAACTTGATACTTCGGTTCGATTTGACGTTTTAAATTTAAACTTGATTTCAGCACGAGGCCAATTAAAGCTACGTTCTTTCTCATGGCATCCGGAGGCGGAAAATCGAATGCTAATTTACGACGGGGAAGATGAAATCACAGACTATACGATAATTGACCAGATCACTCTTAACTGGGCACCATCGTCTGAAATTATCTGGACTCACGGAAAACGCTTAGTCCATCGTTTACACGAGCGAGATGCCCTGTACACTGAAATTGACCCGTTAGCAGCTCGCGTACGCCGACGTGCTCTTAAAGGATTTGGATGTGTAAAAAACGTAAGCATAGGTGTTTTTTTTTTAAGGTTCATATTTCGATGTGGGTTGCGCTTTTTGTGTAAACTACGTTGAAACCAGTACATTTGAGACTTACTTAACTCAAATTTAGTTAATCTACAACATTAACTTGATGCGTAATTGAAAGGTTTTCGGATGGGTGCCAATAATTACGTATTTCCGTTTAAATTCCATGGACGTTAGTCGCTGGCTTTAGCGTGTCTTATTAAAATATATACCTTGTTGCCTAGTTGTTGACAGCTTTATTTTACTGCTCCCTGGTTATTGTAATAGAGAACTCGTTCTCATGAAAGTCCCACCGCTCCTGTGCTACCTAAACTAAACTTTAGTGCTTCCTTCAATCCTAGCGCAGTCCATACTATTAAGAATGTTTTCGAGGAATTATTTATAAAGGGTTAGCGTGAATGAGTGAGAGATTCAAGTTGTCTATAATTGATCGTTTTATAGAAGATGAAGAAATCCATAACTAAACGAGAGAAACGGGAACAAAGTGCTGTTGACTGACTGCATTAATACGATTTTTTTTTTCGTTTTATCCTTATCGTTTGTCTTTCATGCTTCGTAATTAGGCAACAAACATCTGCCTGGATGCGCCACTAGTAGAAGATGAGCGATCGTTACTTAGTCTTCATCATTGGCTCAAACAATTGGAAGCGCTGGGTGGCGAGGAAAACGGGCGGTCCCTGGTCGGTATTTTCCACCTGCTTGAAAATATCCAAGGTGTGTCTAGCTTGTCGTATCTCAAAGTTATTACACATCGTTTCGTATTATTACACATGGCGTGCTATATGTATTTCGTAAGAATACGAAATTCAACAGATGTCACAAATTTATAATCTCGATTAGACCTATGCGCTCTATGTTTGCCTTTATTATAAACCTTGTTACCATTTATCGTGTAAAAATTAATACGATAGGAATTATATTTATGCTGATTAGACACACTTGTTATATCCACGTTAAACGTTCCATTGTTATGATTTGTATAGCTTTGCAATCGGCTATACTATTGTTTTGAGGAGATGAATATTTTTTGAAATTGTAAGCTTATTCACTGCAGGTTCGACATCACAACCGGGCAAGCTGCAATTGGACAACAATGTCAAATACTTGTCGTGCTATGACCATCCTGCACGCAGACAGGCCATAGCATTATTATCGGCCATAGAAGGACCTTACAGGGGTGAAGATGACTGGGCTCAACGGGCAGTCGCAGCGCTCTTCCAGCTTGAGATGCGCAAAGTTATGGAATACCTCGAGATGCCATCTAAAACGGGTGACTAATATACTAATGACGTAATGCAAAGTATGGCACTGTTCGTTTATATCAGCTTTTTTCTCTTAATCATCGATTTTACTTAAAGGTTATTTTACGTTATAATTAAACACTACTGATAACTCAAAAGGTTGCGCATTGAAAAGACTAAAAATCTTTGAGTTTATACCTATTTTGAATGGAACAAGGCCTCCACTTGAAAAGGTATGCTATCCATTGATGCAAAAGCGAAACAAGTTAACATAAATGCATTAACTCTTGCGTTAACTTAACTTGTTAGCTTGTTTTTACAGATCAAGATCTGAACTCTGCGTTTGTCGCTCTTGCCATATCCGGGTACAGCGAACAAAAGGTGAATATAAGATACTTAGTACACACTAATCAATTCTTTTCACTTTATACGGAGTACTTACTACAGTTATATAGATAGCTAAAAAATTAAACATTTAGAGTTCTAAAAAAGCTAATTTGCTTCAGAATAGTGTGCCAGTGTATAGGATTGCATACATACCGTAAGTGCAAAAGGTTCGCATTCATGTATCAGGCAAAATCTTTGGAGTGATCCATTGAATGGGTCTGGCTGTACCTGCCAGAACGCTGTTTTGTTTAAAAAGTCTCGAAAAAGGCTCCTTGTAACGCTGTGAGCATTGTGATAGGGTATTATTTTCGCAAATAATGGCCTAATTGTTTATAAATAATGTGTTAAAGCTGTCATTGAAAATCAACAAGATCTAGCTGTGCTTTTGTAATCCTCAATATTAATGATGATTAATTATCATCACATTGTGACTTTACTTCGGTCGCGTTGGTTAGATCTCTTGAATCTTCAAGCGAACATCAACTAATTTAAACAATTCGGTCTTATTGCAGAACCGCTCGTTAATCAAATAGGCAAAATATTAACAGACAAATACAAGTGTTTACGGAAAAGCGGTATCGGTCGATTTGTGTTGCAGTTCCAAGCCATTACACAAACGTATTGCTCATTTTTCAAATCTTAGACTAAGCGGTAATAACGTTTGTAGATTAATTTCTAATTATTTTATGAAGCCGCTGGAAATGGTTGAGTTCTAACTTTCAATAACTAGGTAGCACCTTGTGTGTAGACTTGTTTACTTTCCAACAGATCTTGAAAGAGTACACTTTTCTACGCATATATTTATTCCTGAACCACATTTTTACACTATAGTTACTGTTCTTGTAGCAATAATAGCTCCATTGCAGGGTTCAACTTGGCGCGAAATGTGTGCTAGCTTAAAGCCCCGAATACGGAACCCTTATCTGGCTGCAATATTCTCATTTTTGATGTCGACGAGCGACGATTATAATCAGGCAAGTAACTATAGTTAGGTTGTTATAAGCAAATTCGGCAGGCTTTTCAATTGTATAACTTTTGAGGAGCACGTCGCTAGCAGACGAAATTCGGTAGATAAATATGTCATTCTTCTAGGAATGAAAAAAGATTGCGTTTATTGGAGGAGAAATGAGTACGTAAAAAAATTATCCTTTAGTCTTGAAGATCAACGCTCGGTGATGAAGTTTTCGTACCTTAAAGGCTACAGCGCTGCGGAAATTCGTCGAAAATTGGTGAAAACGTCAGGCAATGGGACCTCAAGCGAAGGTACAGTACGTGAATGGTGCAAACGTTTTACAAACGGAGATCGGAGTGTTGAAGACCAGCGAGAAAAAGGCCGGATGTAGGGTCCGAAATCTCGGGCGCAAAGGACAACAGCGGAAGTAAGCGAGAGAGTGGCATCGCCCAGGAGAAATCGAGTTTAGCTTTGAGAAATTCAAATGTAGCTGGTGGGAGTACCTTTGATGGACATGAGGAGCATGTGCTACTATAAGATACTTGCCAAAAATAAAACACTAAATATAGATCGCTATGTCGAGTTCCTCAAGTGACCCACACACCACTGGCACCGCAATCGAAAGCACGCAGCCTTGTTGCTTGATGGCAACATCAGACCCAACCGCCATACCTCAACTACTTTATAAATTGCGCAAAGCAACCATCCAACGTTCGTCTAAGTCCGTATGATTACGGAGTTTAAAATACCCTAAAAAAGCAACTAACGAACAAGTATTTCGTATACCTCGATTTACTTCGGTGAACCATTGATATAGAAATAACATATGGGACGGCGAACGGTAGGTACAAGGCTTTCCAGAGGCCAGAAAGCTGGGATAAGCGTGTAAAAAATAAAGAAGAACACCCGTAATAACGATTCTAGCCCAGTTAGCTCAGAAAAATTCAAGGTCCGCTGGGTGCCTAATATTGGGCAATCTAAAAACATTGGTAACATTAATTATAAAAAGTATCAGATAACTTCATTCACGTTGACCACCGAACTGAATTTTAAGACATATGTGTTCACGCGTACCTGAAAACTTCAGTTACTGGGTTAATAACAAAGAATTAAAAGTAGAGGAGCAGATTCTTGGCAGCATAACTTCAAACGTTTGACTAGTTTTTACTTCACACAGGTACTCGAGTGTCCGATTGCGCTTCAAGATAAGCTTATGTTTGCCTGCCGCTTTCTTAGCGACCTCAAACTTTCCAAATTCGTGAAAGAACAGACCAACGAATATGTGATGCAGGGAAACCTCGAAGGTTTGTTTCACCCAGCAAATTGGCTGCTACTATTTTACTCTCATATCACCATTGCTAGCTTCATCACGGATTCACATGGCTATGATAAGATGTGCCATCAGATTATTACTGACTTCTTTTATTTAGCAGATGATTTTTCCCTTGTTTTTTAAAAGGGCACTTACATGTGGCTTTTTTTTTTTTTTATAGGGATTCTGTTAACAGGTTTGCAGGCAACCAAGGAAAAACTTAACGTACAACTTCTCGATCTACTACAAAATTATGTTGATAATACCGCTGATGTCCAGACTGCAGCAGCGCTTGCAGTGGTGACTCGAGATGCTCAGGTTCTAAGCAATGATCGCGCCAGACGATGGATTGAATGCTATCGTGAACTTCTAAACCAATGGCGTCTCTGGACTGAGAGGTTGGTCGACTATCCTTTTTTGCGCATCATCGACAAAAAACATGCCAGTGCTATTACTCCACAATGAGTTGTTTGATAAATGGCTTCTGCTTTGTAAACTGAAAGGCAGTCTCAAATTTTATACAGTATTCCCACAATACTGTGTGCATTTTAAAGTACATATCATAGCCGGGGACCCTAGAAGTCTTCGGAGTTGAATTAAAAATGGGACACTTGTGTTAAGACCTTTAGGCGGTAACGGCACGTGTACCTTGGGACAGTGGGCCACCTGGGGTGCACTGTCACCTGCAGGAGATCCATATGCGGTACGTTATTCCTTATAGAAAAAAAAAAAAACGACATATACGTCCAATAATTGAGTGAGACTATTTTGCCATGGTAAAGATCATCACAGATTTTATCTCTATGGTAAAGATTCACGTGATCTGATAACATAGATGTACGTCCGGTTTTTTTGTGTTTTAGGGCTCTTTTTGATTGTGCAATGGCTCCATTAGCTGGGAGAAACGTAGCACCACAAATTCGCGTTCACTGTAACTTTTGTCGGAAGGCTATCTCGGCTCATAACGACCAGAGAGGCAGACCATCATTTAGGCCTATGCCGCCTGCACAGAGGGTATATAAATGCATCAGTTTTATTTTTTGGCGCCTGGTAATATGCTTCTATAAATTACCATATTATTAAATAAGTTTTATATGATCATTCATATAGAAAAACTTACATAATTGTTAGTTACATAAAATGTTGACAAGTCAAACATGCGTTATTGGCTAATTAATGACATATGAGCAATCGGCTCCACAGATATCGTGCTGCCCAAGTTGCAGAAAGCCATTGCCGCGCTGCGCTATGTGCCTAACTAACATGGGGACGCCAATTTCTCGGCAGGGGCGAGATGCTCGCAATGGCAGGTAACGACAACTAACAGCTTTCGTGTTCTGTTATTTACATTTATTAATATTAATATTGTATAAAAAGGTGTATATTGTAGGAGTTAATGTTTACGAAGGGCTCGTTTAGTTAATTTGTTTTTGTTGAATAACATAAAAACAAATTCATATAATAATCTTTCACAAAGACCCGTAGATGACGTAAAATTGCACCTGTCTATGAGACAATCCTAATTAATTCTGATTTATTTAAGTAATTTCCTAAGGAGTCTAAGAAATGTCAAAAAACGTTGTTCTGTTTTTACTAAACGCAGTCAGTATATATTTATGAAAGCGCTACTTATGGACCATGGACATGTTAATATTCTATTGGTATGTTCCAAAAAAGGAGGCAGGGTTGAAAACCACGGGCTTCAAGGTGTCTAAAATACACATTCAAACGCATGAACTTTGGTATGTTTAGATCAGCGGATAGCCAGGACAGTGTGGCTCCATAGATTGGCCCTTAACCGATAAGAGCGGGGCTTTTTTAGATTGTTTTTTTGTAAAGGCTAAATCAAAATAATTTGGAAGCTATCTAAGGTTTCAGTTTGATAAGGACAATATAAATTATAGGTATAGGAATTGGGTCTACAAATTCAGCAAATATTAAGGATGTCGTAGAATAATAATACTAGATGATTCTCATTTCACTGGTGGCGTCTTTGAAGTAATATATGCGAAATACTATTTTCCTAAAACGGGATAATTTTGAATTAATCGTTTGTAAACATCGATTTTTTATAAAATAGGTATTAGAAATATCAATTTGGCTGTAACCTTTAAACTAGATCCATTTATAGCATACAGTTACATCAATGTTAATATTGGTATTGCTTCATGATGTCCAAAGCATTCTGGATTGATTAGTGATACATTGACTTTCTGATAAGGGCTAGTTTGGTAACACAATATACGACTGTAAGCGACCTCAGCGTACCATATTCATTCATTGAAGGCTTAATTTGTTATGTACCAAATCATATCAGGCATTGCAACTTGTGCTGCTGTTTTCACCATCTTCCAGAGATACCATTGTTGATCAGAATGTTAACGGAACGGTAACAAACCGAGGGGATCCCAGTCAGTTTACCCGTTGGTTCACCTGGTGTCAGAGTTGTATGCATGGAGGACATACACAACACATGGCCCACTGGTTTGAGTAAGTTTTTCACACAAGATTAAGCCTGGAACTATAGAGCCGCGGAAAAGTAAATACAATGAACAGATTTATTCTATTGGCGCAGGAGAGCCCATACTTGAACGAAAGGCTGTTCTAAACTCATGCGATTGCGGTGAATTATTTTAAACATGATACTTCTAATTTAACTAGTGTAGCCAGTAGTAGCAGTGAAAGCCAATACGACATGTTCTGAGCTCCCAAAAAAGAAGCGAGCATTTAAGGAACTTATCAGCCCCGGCATCTCCTACCAACGAAGTGATCCCGAATAGTGAGTAAAAAGTGTACGAAATTAATAGACTAGGAGAATATCAAACTTAGGACGCGCCGTGTAGGAGCACTGGCTTTTTATATGTAGAGAGCGTGCTCGGCAAACAAAGAATTAACGTAGCTGTAAATGTATCACCCACCGTAAGACAGTTCTTGTCGTGCCAAACAAAACAAAATTACCACAGAGCCACCAGTTTGCAAGCTTCCGATGTTAACCGAGAATTTTTGCCTTAATAGGACAACGTTAATAGTGACGAAGCGAAGGACAAGTTGACTCGAGGCATATTTAAATACAGTGTGTACCACTGAACAGCTTACGATATGGGAGCAGGTAGCGGGATTAAACGTGTCTCCGACGGCCAGGAGAAACAAAACAGAACATTTCTATAAAATTTGCGTATTCAAACACAAACAGCTGATCGCAGCCTGCAAAAGGCAAGAGCTAGTATGCTGGCTAACATTAGTTAATTAAGGGAGAGTGTCGAATTTATCGCCAGTGGAGCTTATAGAAGGAATGACCACCGGTACTGGAACACGAAAGGTAATTAATAAAATACCATTCTTCAAAAATGGCATTCTTGGGCAATGGTAACTGATCGCTGACTCCAAGTAACTAAAACTGGCTATGGGCCACCTTCCATCGAGGAAAGCCGCCGGCCTATCCAGGCCGACGGCTTTCGGCTAACCTGGAAACCAAACAGATTGGTTTTATACCCCCCAGCAAACCAGATAAAGCCGAAACAGAGACATTTCTTCCAAAAAACGCGGATTTTACCTAAATAATTTCTACCATCAATAGAAATCGGCCGTATTCAAAAGTTTTATGTCACACCTGGAGACAACCTGGACACCAAGATACGGACCACAAAGCAAAGGCATTTCGGTTCATGCACCCGCACTATGCAGAAACAAAAAAGAAAAATAAGCAGGCAGGCAATTCAGTGTATGAAAAGAAGATGACGTGGGTTCTCAAGAACCTGGAGTTCTCTATAAAAAAAGCAAAAATAATGGCAGCATCAGCAGATGTATTTGGCAATATATTATCAAATCAAAGACAAAGTAGTCAAACCTTTAGATGAAAGAAAGCCCAAAGATTGCGGATAATGGAACGTATGTAGCGCACGGGAATAACAGCAACAAGGAGAAAACGCAAGAACTTGAGGAGCAGATGGTCGTGACGTAAATGAAAGTAGAGGAAAAAAACAAGATAATCGCGGTAAGCAAAGATCAACTGGTCGAAAATGAGAACAATTAACACAGCTGAAAAAAGATTAAGAGGCTTAGAGAAGCAAAAAGCAAAAAAGAGAAGCAGACCTATTTAATAGAAAAACGCACAATAAAAAGAAGGTTCTGCAAGGGCTTTAGGAAACTACAAACGCGGACAGATGAGGAAATTTTTAAGTGGAAACAGGCTAAAGAGAACACCACCATAGGAGACTGATAAATCCCTATACAACACAAGAAAGTCAAGGATCGGGAGATTATAAAACGCTCCTCTCAGCTGCGTCAAGACTAGATGAAATGGAAGTTGGAAGGGTCGGAATACAGGAAAGCCATTGCGATATTCTTGATGTAAGCGCTAAAGATGAAAAGAATAACGATGTTACATTCATAGCCACACATTGACCATAAGAAAAATCGTAGACAATCCGGGCACAGACGTGACTTCGAGGGTGTTACATAACATCATGTAGGAAATAAAAAGCAAGGTATACGAAGCACGGAAAACAAAGGAAGAAAAAAGGAGGGCGGTGATGCATGTTACTGAAAGTGGAGTCAGCGATCTTGCCAAAAAAAGTGTCGAGTATTCTTTGTTGAAGATCGGGAGAGCAATTCGTGTCTGTACGTCAGACAATACTGCAAGAGCAAAAAGTATAAAAGGGGAGTACCAAAAAAATACAGAACGGACACCATGACTATTGTATCTGTTCTGCATTTTTTTGGCATACATTTTTTGCACGTATTTTTCTGTATTTTTTACAAATATAATAGGAATTGTACTTAAACAAAAGGACGACTCATTAGAAGTGGGAGTCACGATGAAAATAAATTCCGTAGGTCTAGGAGACTGGAACATGGAGTTCCCGTACAGACAAAGTAAAAGGAAGTGCGATTGCTAGCTTGTTAAAGATCCTCAAGACGCAATGAGTACTCTACGCAACAGGGTTCTCCCAGCAGATAAGGATCTCGATAAAAGGTTCTTAACTGGCGTACGAAGAGGTAACCAATGGTGAAGCGATCAGCAAAGAATTGAGATAAACCGCACTCGAAGCATTAATAGTTTATATATCCTCACTAGATTTCACGACAATGAGGGGCGAAATCCCCAAAAGTCCAGCCAAAATATTGCTCAGAGTGCGGGCACTAACAGAAGGAGAGTGGAGGTATCTCACCACGGCGGCCGAATTTACAGTTATGAAGGTGGTCGCTACATGGGGCCCGATAGCTATCAACGCAAGACGAAGAAAGTTATAGGGTATAAGAGAATACAAAGGATCGAGACAAGCTATAGTACAATGGCCCATGGCGACACCGAGAAAGGGCGGAACTACAAGTTAATCCGGAAGTCATAAAAAGAGAGGGGCACGGAAACGGACGTCTCAGAACTAGCAGAAGAAATGAAGAGAGCAAGTAGCGGACTCTACAAGAGCATGCCCAGTCACTCCATTCCTTACCTAAATAAATAGATAAACAGAACCAACGGAGATACTACGTATGAACTGACCCAGGTGCTTTCTAAAGAGTGCCTCCACAAGGGTGGCTAGGCATTCGATTGGATATGCATTTTCCGATTTCCAATTCCGACATAGAATAGGCTATGTTGATGATGTGATCCACACGTCACTCAAATGCCCAGCTGTCAGAGAAACTCGGAGAAAAGGCAAACGTAGTGGAGAACCCAGCTACCTCGGTGGCTGAGCTCGTCAATGACATGATAGAAAGTAGAAAACTACGGCTAGTAGAACAAGTGATGAAGAGGAAAGTCTATTTGGAACAAACGAGGACAGTCAATCCAATGCCCTGAAGTCCACTGAAATAAAATGTCACACACATTTCCAGTAAATGACAAAACAAATTTAAAATATAAAAAGCCGGCGTAATAATATAATATTGCAGTTTGTTCTGGTTGGGTTTATCATATTTTCTTTTGAGCAGCATCAAGAGCATTTATGATCAAGCTGTGCTCTGAATTTCTAATGCTCTTATTTTCGTTTCACATAATTCAATTAATGTAAGGGTGTCCTTCGGTTCCCATGAGCTAGGAAATCATAAGAGTTAACGTCAGTTTTAATAGATATTGCCAAACCACCAATACTATATGCATAAGTCAGGCAACATAAACATTCCTAATAAATTATAAGCTCTCCATTTGCGTAAAGAATGCCGGAACCTTAATAAAAATAAATCTCAGTATTCATTAAGAAGAGGAATTTAGTCCCATGGCTCCTATTTTGTCACCAGTTAAGAGAAGTGTACTACTAACTGTTGTTTAATACTGCTGTACTTTAGTATTGGATTGTCGTAGGAAATTTGGAGTCGTAGGAGGTTGTAATTAGCATAATGATCAAATTTGAAATATAAATTACCGAATGTAATTTATACGAAAAGAAAATGTTTTATAATTTTTGTCTCTGTATTTTCCGTAACTGTTGAACGATTCACAGGAAACACGAGAAATGCCCCGTGGCTGGATGTCAGTGTATGTGCGCTTCCGTTGACGTCTCGTGCACTCAGGCCTCCCTCCCGCATTTCGAAAAACGAATTGGTTGAAGACAGGTACGCTAGTTCTGCTCCTAAAGCAGACGACTATTTCTAGGACAAATTCGCTAGTTGCATACTGCGGACGTTGAATAGAACGTCAATTCAAAGATTGAAGACAGAGACAGGAAAGCATGAAGTTGATACACTGGACATTCCCAAGAAGGAGCTTATCAAGCAATAGCTTATTTTGTCATCGATGTTATTGGGACCTTTTTATATTTGGTTTTAATGACTTTCATATCGATTAATAACATTCGGTTCCATAGATAAGCGACGATAAGAAAATCATTGGAGTGAAGCATAACTATGCCTGTGAATATGCGCAACGGAGGTTTATATATTTGCAGATGACATGATTAGGTATTTACGAATGCATTTTTTTGTAATCATGAACAATAAGCTAGGAAAAAGGACTGCAGCGTGGCATAAAAAATACCTACGAAAAGGCACTCCTTAAAAGGACTCAGTTATCGCCTTTATAATGCAGATCGTATGTGCGATAAGTACACGATGCTAGCGTACCAAAAAAGTGAATATCCCTTTGACAAAAAATTAAGCGAACTTCATTTGAAGACTGAGGTTTACCTACTTTTTGTTTCGAAATAAAAAAAATTTGGCTGTGATTAAATCATGATTTAACTGGAGCAACGTTTACGCATGCAAGTGTTTTTACAACCTCCACAAAATGTGTTTTAACGTAAATGACTTGATACGGGCAACCTCGAGCAGAAAAAAAAAACTGCGGATGTAGTCATAGCCAATTGTTATCTTATGCCCCTTCATAGAACTATTTTATTTAATTGTTGAAGGTAGTCGCGGAACTGGTTTGGTATAAACGTGAAAGAAGGCTAGCAGTGTATGACAGAACTTTCTTTTTCGTTAACTCCATTCAGTTAAATTTATGAATTTTCTCTATAAGGTATAAATCACGCCACAGAATATTTGTCAGATTTTTGTAGTTAGAACGATCATATGCTACTTATTTTTCAACTTGGTGTTTAGATCTTTGCCATGAGGTTTCGGTAAAGGTTTAATAGAACTTGAGGCAACTAGTAGTAGCAATACTGGCATGCGTTCAAGCAAGCTTGGTGCTGTGAACCTAGATGTATCATTTCATATACACATCTCGTTTCGTGCTAGGAACTAGCCGTTTGAAGCGATGCTGCAGCTGCATCAGACGAAAAAATAAAAACGGTTATTTATAATATTATATAGTAGAAAGATCGTGTCATGGGCAATGACGTTTAAAGTGGGTCAGATCATATTCGACAATATAATTAACCTGGTTAACAAAAAAAAATATCTATAGCCTTTTTGTATGCCTTTACGCATTTTATCTATAAATTGCATAAAAGCATATGTAAAGGCCGAGCAACGTAGAAGCTACTGGTATTTTGAGCTAATCTGTAATCTTTGACAAGAAATAACAATGGCACTAAAGTATGAGGTCGCCCACAAAGCTGAAAACATGGCAATGTAAGGTTAAGTACTGTGTAGAAAATAAGATAAACGTGTACCAATACCTTCCATAAAAGCTGTAAGTGTAATAAACATGAAGTTTATTTTTCATTATTTTATAAATCATTCACTGAATAAATGTATTTAACATTTCTAGTGATTGGAATTTGAATGGAACATGTAGATGCGTCGCGCAGACCGTACGTTTGCATAGTGAACTCTTAACTTAACGATAAGTGAAGGTTCATGTACCTCACTTGCAATTATTCATATAAACAGGTGAACCCCACTTTGTAATTCATTGAACATCGTAGTAACAATAAATGAAGTGGCACCATGGATATTATACTTGTTATTACTATTTTTATCGCAGAGCAAACATGAGCTCCTTGTGACATTTTTAAGCTGATAGGGTGCTCTGTGCGGCATGCCGTCAAGTGTTAAACATTAGCGCAAGAGATTTGCCTTTATTAGACACGGAGTACCGTAGCAACTACGCGTACTTACCCTGTTATCAGACTGGTAACTCTAAATCGCGGCTGTGGAGAACTCTAGATAGAAGCCCATTTTCATACACATTCCTGTTTCATCAGTCCCTCACACAGTCAGGCCCTCTCCGAGACGAACTTATTTAGCTTGCCTTAATAATATCTTAGAAGAGAATATCGTACCAGGATGGCGGGAGCTTCCTTCTTTATTCAGAATATCTCCTTAGTCGGACCAATAATACTTCTGAGCCGTTCCGATTAGATTCTACAGATCAAGTTGAGCTTTGTTCGGGAATACTTTATTAGAAAGTGAATCGTATCACAAAGTTTTTCTAGATGGAGCGAACCCCAAAAAGCAAGCAGGCCGATAATGGAAAATTTACTATAAAGAAACTACTGATAATACTGAAGGGCATAGACTGTCACGGTGTAAGATGCATAAAATTTTTTTGTAAACGCTAAAATTTATGTCTTCTTGGAAAAACTTGATTAGGCTTTTAGTGTTTGTGCCTTGCATCAATAATGTATTTTCGTATTGCTCACAGACATATTTTACATTTATCTTTTTTTACATCACAGACATTTATTAACAAGGTTTCGGAAAAAGTTCTCAATCATTACCCTGGGTAGGGGGAGAGGCGAAATTAATGGTAGCAAATTGATGAAAGTTATCTAGGCGTACGTATAATTTTAACTAATCGTCTGAAGTTTAGCTATTAGCATTCCATCACAAAGATAAGAGTCTTCTGCCGATATCTGCCCGTTATTTAAAATTTTGAGAAGATATCGACTCGTTAGCCAATTAGAAAAACACCGTTAGTAATCATCTCTTAGTTTCTGATTGATCTCGGTCTTATTTCTTTCTAATTTCTTTTGATGAGATCCAGCATTATAATTTTTTACGGGTATAACAGACAAACGGCAGGTGACGATTCTGCTAGCCGATCTGGCAGTCAGCAATGCGTAGCTTGTTACTCTTAAAGCAACACAACGAACACTTCCAGACGCGAAGATCTACCTAAGCATTCAAGAGCTTAGATCCTACTTTGTATCCGATTCAACACATAGAAAGCGCGTCCTGTTGCAATATTCGTAAGAAGTATTTTTTACAATGATGAAAAATTTTGCGAAAGTTATTAAATGCCAATAGGACACAATTTGGCCATATATATATATATATATATATATATATATATATATATATAGATCAGCGACTCTGAGATATCAGTTCTTAAAAATTTTGTGAAGATAATTCGCAAATAACATGAACAGGTTTTCCTTTATAAGCGATCTAAATTTACTATTCCAGTGTACTGGCTTTGGGCATTGTTTACATATTATTTATTCAAGAATTCAAGTTTCTAAATTTCGAATTCTGCCTATTGTATAAAACCAAAAATTATTCTTTTAAAATAATTTATTGTTGCTTACCAAAAAATAAATTAAATTTTAGGACTGGTAACCTGTTCTGACTGTGCAAAACATATTAACAGTAATGGTTCACATTTCTTAAAGACAACAAACAACAGAGTTAAATTCTGTAAAGTTTAAAAAAAAATAAACCTGAAACGGCAGAATATGAATCGATTTATATTAGCGAAACGCACTTAAATAATTTTATTATATCTTTGCTCATGACTACTGAGCGCTGCATATCAGGATCTAATTCCGAAACGACAAAATTAGCTGCGAGGGTAGCTGACGTATTTTTTGTACTTTTTGCGGTAGCGACTGAATGTGGCGAATGCGTACAAGTTTACGGCAAGCCTATGACAAAATACCTTGCTCGTCGGACAGACATCATTACTATTCAAAGCCAGTCAATAATAATAATAAAAAAGATCTATGGCTGGCCGAGGCAGTTCCAAATCAAGAGGATCACTATGGGATCAGCGTCTAATTGCCAAGCTTACTCTACACCTGTAGCACTGAATCAGTGGTCGTTCATAAGTGTACCTTCTTCGTCGATAAATATTAGTAGAAATCCAGCGTCGTGCCCGAAGACATTGTTGTACAAGGTATCGCGGCGTTTGGGCTACAGAGGTCGCACCAATTATTAGAAAATAGGCTGACCTAATCGGTTACGAAATGTGCACTCATTTGACGAAAATTGTTTAAATTAAAAAATTATGTATTTTTAGGTTTTGCAGATACATCGAATTATATCATGAAAACTGGCGTTCATGAAGTAACACATAATCTCAACTTTGAAAGAGTCGAGAAGATAGACATTGTATAATAAAGGTGCACATTTTTATAATTTATTTAATTTTTAATGCATATGTTTATATATGATTGTGTTCTTCAGATACCGAATACCATAAACATAACTTGCTTTAATTTCATTTAAAAAGCAGCCTACATAAAATAGGTATTTACAACAACGACAAGTAACCATTTGGTTACTTGTCGAGAAGACGGAACCTCCACAAAACTCTTCCGCAGGCTGCCGAGAGACTTGCCCGTTCTTGCATCGAGAGTGGATTACGACAGTTAACGTCGAAGTCTTCAATGCTAGAAAATGACGTTGTGTACCTAGATCCGCTACTTCACAGCTCGATAGCTTTCCGCTGAAATCTATCACCGGATGCTTTATGACGGCTTCTATATAGGAGCTTGGGAGGTGCCCTAATATCAATCCTTCATGATGATGCAGTGTAACCTGCGGTAACGACGGCAGTAGGGAAGTGAATTATTGATCATTTTTGTTATTATTACTAGGGACTTCAGTTTCCCTCCCTAAGCATCGGGGAAATACCTAGGAATCGTTCTATTTATTTTTAAGCTCCAGCTGTAGTTCTTGAACCGAGTAATTAAGACATTTATATAATACAAGCATAAAGCAAAGTCTTTAATACAAATAGTATTAACCTCCTATTAATAATAATAAACGCATTTTTCGGAGCTGCAAGTAATCGGGATGGTTATTAGGTATGCCGTAGTTACAATGGCTAAAAATTATCGTGTTGTAGTGAAAAAAGCAAACGCAAGCAACGACTGTCCGTTCCTTTAGTGGAAAGAAACTTAGCTGGAAGAAAGGCAACGATGCTGAGAGTTTTCCTTCTACAGGGTACGCTATTCAGTCTCGGACAGTCTTACTGTTTGTCGTAGCGAGAATGCGTTTATCTGTCATTTCCGGTATTAGAAGAAGGCTACTTCTTTTTAAAACAAAGCAATAAGCCCCTCACGGCGAACAACAGGGTGCGTCGTATTTTGCAATTTGATCGAAAAGTAACTACTATCCAATATCCTCGAGTTAATCCCTTTTTTGCCCCAAATCGACAGGCGGCGTTATTACTAGTTTGTGTGCGGCTTTTAAAAAAAATCCGAGGAAGTTTAATGATAAAGTTTAATTTAATAAAGTTTAGATCTAAAAAATTTAAAAGTTCGCCAAAATGATTAAAAAAGCTAGCTTTAATACGCTTGGGTTTTTGATAGAAAAATTAATGCCCATTTTAAAAGACGAGGCTATTAATTGGCAATCGAATCGATTATATAAGTTTCAATGGTTAGTTTTGTTGTATTTTTCACTTTTTCTATCGAAAAGGTAATTACACCAAAATTTTCCGCATAAAACGTATTTGAGAGACATATTAATAAGTACGCACTTATCAATATTGCTTGCTGTACGAAATTTATTAAAAAAAAAAAAAATATTTGAAAATTAGAAAAAGAATATCTTGAAAATGGCTAGTGAACACCTAAGATTCAGCATTGAAAATGTAATCATGCCGAAAATTCTCGTTGAACTATCACTTTTAGAAGCAACTCATAAAGGTCCTGATTGAGATTCCACGCGCTCTATGCCCGTTAAAATTAGTGGTTTTATCCACACCTCTTGCGTACGAAATGAAGATTGAAGTGAAACACTATTATTGCCTAAAGGTGTTTACAAGCGTTCGTTGGTTCTGCTCTCTAAATAATAAAACTTCGTATCTTGGCATTTCTTCAACTTTTAGGAAGCTAGTTTTATTTAACACTAAAGTCGGATTCAATAACCTTCGAAAACAATGTGTTTCATTGTTTCTGAAGTCATATAGTGCTCGTCAGAATGCTACTATTGTTTTTGAAGCATTATCGGTTCTATGTAGAGAATGTGCACATTCAGCAAATGATGCGGCTGTACCACGGTTCTAAGCGTTAGCCCATAGATACGTTAGTGCTGCGAGAGGTAAAAGTGTACAACTCAACGACCCCTGCTGCAGAGGATCATCGCTACACTAAATCATTGGGTCGCAAAATACCAATAGGGGACTAATGTGTTGTAACTACTGCGATTACGATGATTAAAATGAGGCGTTAGGTCAGTATTTTAAATTTTCTTTGGTGAATTATCAATTCTTGATCTGAAATATATTATTATCCCAAATGGGCCCCATAGGTGTGACGCGTCAGTTACCACTTTAAAGAGCCATGTGGCCTGAGGCTGCATGGAACTCAATAACAATTCGTGTGAGGCGCAAATACGCTAGGTGAGAAAGGGCCAAAAGGAAGCAAAAGGGAGGAGGGTATTTTACTATTGCCACCTCCACCTCTTTCTCGTCCTCCTGCGCCTCCTCCTTCTGCTGGAAACTCCATGGATTCTCGATTCCCGTGCACGCTGGCTGGTCCTCGATCGGGCGGCCATCTTGCGTCCTCCGATCCCCTGCCCCAAGTACTAAAGAAGACCAGCCGTGCCTTGGCCGTCATCGGCACCCGTTGCGATGGGACGGCTTGTGGTAGGTAGCTTAGTGCTCACCGCAGGGCTATGGCTCTCGGCGAGAGTGCCGAACGCGCTGGCTAACGCCGACGCCAAGCGGCTTTATCACGACCTTGTTAACGGCTACTCATCGCTCATTCGGCCTGTAGGAAACAACTCTGACCGCCTCACCGTCAAGATGGGCCTTAAGTTATCACAGCTCATTGACGTTGTAAGTAAAGAGCTCAACACAGCCTTTCTCAGTGTGTTTCTTAGGTGCTAAATGCGTTTAATGTGCATTCAAGTACTGTGGTATGCAAAACTCATCACATTGAGTATGCTCTTTACGCTTTATTACAGTGGAAAAACGGTGATTATTGAATGTTTATTACGAATCAAATAACTGACTCATTTACCTATCTTATGATGTTTTTTTTTCTATTGTAGTTCACAATTTCGAGGATGCATGAAGGCAACGTAAATTTCAACGATAGACCAGTTTGTTCTAATAGCATTATTTTTATGCTAGTTAAGCGTATACCAAAGGTTTATTATGGGGTTGTAAATAAAGCTACTACACCTATTGTTTAGAAATATTATCATCTTCGTGAGAATAATAGTCTTAAAATCTTTATCCTAGTTGGTGATGTTTGTCAAACAATGAGATCCGCTCTTGTGAAGACCATTTTCGGGAGTTTGAAATTGCTTGATTTCATTTTGTCGGGGCTGATTTGTACTTTATTTTAGCTGTTTTTTTACTTTTAGCTGGGGGCCTATTTAGGTATACTTTTCCATGCTATTTAACTAACGTGCCGATTTGGAGTGCTATACATATATATATATATATATATATATTTATCTACTATGCTTATTTTCGCGTTGAAGATGCGCTTTGAAGGGAAAATTTTTACCATAATGCTCTTTGTAGGAGTTATTTGCTACCCTACCACTCTGCAGGTTTTATTTTTTCTTAAGATAGAATGCTATGCCAAAAATTTGATTTTCGGCACGAAAGAACCGATTTATACTTTACTACCCGCATCCATAATTGAGTAGTGCATCCTATGCCACTTCTAGCCATTTTTTTCTTTAAAAGTGTAAACTGCAAACTTGTAGCAGCGACGTTTTGATGACATTTTTTCTTGTATATAAAAAAGTAAAGTTTTGATTTGTGTTGGGAAACAGCTTTCTTTAGGATGTCATCAAAAGTCGAGCTTCGGCCGACCCTATTCGCGTGCGTCCTTAAGACGTCGGCCTATCACCAATTTTACTCACGTGCATCCTAGCTACTTATTACATGGCTAGTAAAATACATCAATTAGCTCTATAAATAGAAAATTGAGGTTTTTATCCATTCTAAACCAAAGCCTTGCTTAGAATATCTCAGAAAAAGGGTCCATAGACCATCTCCAGTATGTTTGCGTCATTATAACATCAGTCAATGGTCGACCATCTTCAGGTGCATCTCACAAACCGGATCAATTCAGCCGAGATTCAAAAAACCCTTTACAGAAATGTAGGAACAAAAAACCAATTTAAACCGGCACAAGTCTTTCTTTCTTAATATCTTCATTCTTGCCAGTAATATGTGGACGTCCGATAATGAGCTGCGTTTTTACATGGGCTATATCGGGCTGTTGGAATTGGTTACCCTTATTCATCTTTGGCATCATTTTGCCAGAGCTAATATGTACTACATTTTCACTTTTCCTATTAAAATAAGAGTTGAAAAAATTGAGCTAGGGGTTTACGTAAGCATATTTTTTGTGCCATTAAGTGAAGACTTTAACGAGCAGAACCAAAACGCTATACATGACTACGTAACTTAATCTGTACTTTCATGATCAAAATGCCCTTTGAAAAATAAAATTTTAGCATGGTGTTCTACGTAAGTGTTGCTTTTTTCTGTGTCATTCGAATGGTCTCGAAAAGGTACACCAAAACGGTATATATATGCCTACTCCTAAATTTTAAGCTGTCTTTTTCGTACCCCTATCCATGGTTCAAAAATGCATTCGATGACATTTTTGACTGTTTTTTTCGAAAAAATTTCTTATACTTGGAAAGTTGGGCTACATGCTCATACGATTTCTGTTAGACATACTTTCCAGTGAAAAATAATGACAAGTCGAAAGAACTTTTTGAGCGAAATCTTTGATAATAGCTACGTAATAGGATGGGTAATTCAACAAACTTCGATGATTTTAGTTAAAATACGATGATCATACACTGAGGCTTTTCGCTTCGAAAACAACAAAAACAAGCTGATATTGTGTTTATTTGTTGCGTATAGGAACATAGTAGTCTTGATTGCTCTTTAAATAAACTTGCCAATTCGAAAGTCGCGAAGAACGCCTACTATAACCTATACCGCAGCTGAAATCTCGTTCGAAAATGTTGGCAAAAAAAAATATTTTCAAATACCAAAATATGGAAAATGTTTAGTTTGATCAAAACAAAACGATAGGTCGAGCGAAAATGCAATACATCCATGCTAAGGAACCTATTTTTCATATATGATAGTGATGTTGTGTCGCTGTTTTTTTTTTTTGAACAACTATCTTTCATAAATATCAACTTGAAAATTGCGAGAGCTGACGTGGCGAACACTAAAGTAAAAGAGATTTGCAAAAAAAAAATGCATAATAAAGCATTCTTGAGGGCTTTTTTGATTTCAGTGGATAAACCTCGATGGGCTGGACAAAAACGAGTTCTTATACTAAAAGTACCTACTTGAATGAGAAAAGTTAAAACTAAAAGTGGAGAACCTTTTCCCGGGCATCGATCCAGCATCCTTGCATAGATCCCGGGCAAATTTTTTTGCCAGGAAATCTATGCAAGGGAAGCCGTTGCTGGTATCGAAAGCTCCCAACGGGCTGAAATATAGTACATGTTCCTGTATCGGAATTTTTTAAGGTTAATATTGCTCTTTCTACGGCAAAAATGCGATATGGTATTTCATTTAAAGCCAATTATTCTTGCCACCAATCGATAGATCTCAACGAGCTGGGTAAAAATGCAATACCCTTTACCTAAATCTAATATCTTGAGGTTAAAACGGAAAAAATTCAAATGCCGCATTTGTTACCCTCATACCGGTAAGATTGCGTTTTAGGTGCTTTCTGATAGACTTTTTGTTTAGGACGTCGTAGGATAAGGGTTACTAGGACATATCGCGTTTGTTATTTCTCATGCAATACAAATTCGTTTGAGTGCTTTTTTGACTAAACGCTTTATTTAGGATATCCCAGTGACATTCTACAGCAACGATTGAAAGTCGGCCGACTTTACTGATGTACATTCCTGAGCCGTAGGCCAATCGTATTCGCGCCATCCCAGGCACAATGTTATGTTAGCTAACATTTGAAAGGTCAAAATCAAAGCAACCCCGACGAACGGATTTCTCTAAATGTTTCAATGGAGAACTCTACTCATTTCCGATCGGCTATAGAGATAATCATTTATTAGTAACATGTGATAGTCTAAATGATGTACTGTTCCGCATAGCGTATCGCTACCTCGAAGGCTAAATAGACTATATGTCGTCTCAAATGCCTCACGTTTTGGCTTTCATAAATACGCCACATGACAATAAGCTTTTGATTGAACCTAGAGACACGGGCTTGGTTTATACTTTATAAAATGTTTGTTTTAAAACACACACGCTAACAAGCCCTATAATATTTAGAGTTGCTATAACGAATCGGCTGCCTCGCGTTTTAGGCCGAAAACCAAACGAAATTCGAGGCCGAAATAGAATAGACAAGACTGCTTTAATTGGAGTGTGATTTGGGCAAAACTTTCCCAAAAGGACACATGTGGATGTTGGCTTAAGAAGCCGTAACCATTATGACTCATGACCTTATTCGACACTAACGACGTGTTGACGATTTATTTGCAGAATCTTAAGTCACAAATTATGACCACTAACATGTGGGTAGAGCAGGAATGGAATGACTACAAACTGCGTTGGGACCCTGAAGAGTACGGGGGCGTCAGCAAACTCCATGTACCCGCCGAACAGATCTGGCTACCCGACATAGTGCTGTACAATAAGTAAGCATACGCCAAGAACACTCCTGTGAAGACAATAGTACACATATTGTTATGTATTTCATCTGGGCGTACGCTTAAAACTGTCAACAAGGACAGCCAAACGCTACTTAAATTGCAGTTTTCCACTACTGCCTCCGTAGTGACAGAAAATAGGCAACGCCATTTTTAGCTAATGCTCATTCAGGTAGTATTCTGCTTGCCGCTGACATAATTTCAACCAAATGTTGTATTTGACTAGAGCAGAAAAGCTTAGTGCGAGTGCGTATAAGCTTGATAGCAACTTTTTAATTCCCTCATAATTTAATAATAACTGTGGTAATTATATTACACTTGTTATACTGAAAATTCGTCCCGTTTTTAGCTACCACTAAAGCCACTTTATTCATGTCTGTGCTAACTTACTCACAGCGCCGATGGTAACTACGAGGTCACGATAATGACCAAAGCGATTCTTCATCACGACGGCCTCGTTGTCTGGAAACCGCCAGCCATCTACAAGAGCTCGTGTGAGATCGATGTCAAGTACTTCCCGTTTGATCAACAGACCTGCTGGATGAAGTTCGGCTCGTGGACGTATGACGGATACACCGTCGACCTGAAGCATAAGAACCAGCAGGACGGCGATTTAATTGAGGTCGGCATCGACCTTTCGGAGTTCTACCTCTCAGTGGAATGGGACATCATGGCGGTCCCAGCGCGAAGAAAAGAGAAGTTCTATTCGTGCTGCGAAGAGCCGTACCCTGACATTACATTTAACATCACAATCCGACGAAAGACCCTATTCTACACTGTCAACTTGATTATACCCTGCGTTGCCATCTCATTCCTCTCCATTCTCGTGTTCTATCTTCCATCCGATTCTGGAGAAAAGGTAAGTTTAGCCACGCAAAGTCGTTGCCAATAATAATAATAATATGAACGCTGTACGTTAACGAGCTTCCTGTACCTCGGACCAATATTTGAGATTCTTCCACCTGGACATTTGGCACCCTTCTGTTTTCTATCCGGTACAGATTCCACAGAAGCTAACCTCAAAGTAGCGATTATACCTATTAAATCGATATTGAGCATTAGGGACGGGTTTACATCTTCCAGCTTACTCAGTTATTTTTACCTTCAGTAGTAGATTAAAGTACGATTAAGTTTTCTATTAGTTCACACACGGTGCTTTCGCTTCGCCAATTTTACAATATTTTGCTGTGTACACTTGGGAATGAAGTTGACAAAGGCATTATTTTTAGACTTTGGCCAAGGAATTCGATTGTGTAGACCATGGAACGTTAATTCCTGTAATTTATACTTTGTTGGCTTTAACTATAAATAGTCTACGAATTGCCTTAGATTTCGAGGTTATTTTTTTTTTTGCAATTTCATGTTTGTACCCTCCAGGTATCGCTCTCAATTAGCATTATGCTCTCTTTGGGGGTCTTCTTCCTTCTGCTGTCGGAGATAATTCCGCCCACGTCGTTAGCAGTGCCACTCCTGGGCAAGTACCTCCTCTTCACAATGGTGCTCGTCTCATTTTCAGTCTTCGTCACCATCGCTGTGCTCAACGTTAATTTTCGTTCACCAGCCACACACAAGGTACGCAAATAATAGTACACGCAGCGCTGCAGTAGCGCGGACCGTGCATTGCTCACATAGAGTACGACCTGTAATTCCGTAAAACGCTTTCAAATTGTTTGCATTTTATTAAAGAAAGACAAAGTAGGACGCTGTAGCTGCACAAACGATGGTAGCGTTAAACAAAAATTCAGTGGTTGATTTACAGACAAATATGGACATTTGTTGGATAACATCCAACCTAACATATCGTTTATCATAAAAAATACACGAAATGTTAAGTTTGCTAATATAGACATAACGGTCGAATGCACTTCTATATGTCTTCGAGAAACACGAACATGTTCCAATATAGAAGGCAAACTTAGCGTTGTTGCAAGCGTGTTCGATGGGTTTCGCACCCCAAGCAAGTGTGGCTTAAAACAAAGAACAACTATGTGACCCAGTGCCAACACGCACCTGATTCAACACCAGCAGCGGTCGAACTGACAGGCCGAAAATGCTTAGTTCAATCATTCTTTTTTTCTTATGGTCTCTGGAGTCATTTTTGTCTGCGGTACACCAGCCCTTTTTTCATTTCCAGAGGAGCACACAGTGGGGTACAATATGATTTCTACAATAATTGTTCTGCACTCGACCTATATAACGAGTCGCTGTAACTCTGAAATTATTAGTCATACAAGGGCCGACTCAGCATCTGATAAGTTGCTTCGTTCATAGCTACACGTCATCAGTAAAGGATAAACGTACCCTGAGTTTCAGAGTGCAGTAGGATGCTCTTCCTGCTATTTGTCCAGCATGCGCGTTTTCTACTTGGCACGTCTGTCTAGAATCCAACAAAATCAGTTTCAAATGCCAGATGCGACGTGCAGATATTCTATGATTTTCCTCTATTAGCGTGTTTGCTAAATTCAATTAAAGACAACGTTAATTTTCATGCTGTTGCGGGTGGCAGTAAGTGTGACGTGCGGTATCATAGCGACACTTCATAGTCATACCAATACAATGATTACATGGCTCAAAAGGACGCATCACCTGGACCAAAATGGCACACGGGTTTATTGAGCCTAAATAAGCTGTGTAAACTTACTGACAATTGTTGTATATATCTTATCGTTGTTATTGCGCACACGCAGATGCCCCTGTGGGTGAAGGAAATATTCTGTGAGTGGTTGCCGGGTATTCTTATGATGAAACGGCCAGAAGACGACGACGAGGAAAAAGATGAGGATGACGAGGAGGTACAAGAGGCTGGAGGCTTAGAGGGAGTGGAAAGCGGTCAGGGAGGGGCCCTACACAACTGTCACGATATGCACGACGATGTAGCAGGCCCAGATTCAGCAGCATCTGCGGCTGCGGCGGCGGCGGCGGCAGCGGCAGCACAAAATCAAGGCAACCTGCTTGACCTGGCGGCTGTCGGGTTCGATAGCGTCGAAGTGCGCAGCCCGACGGTACCGTCACTACGGTTGCCTCCAGGTAAAAGTCGTATTTAGCAGAAAATCAACTTCCCTTCTTCTACCGCCGGACCAACAGAAACACATAGGCAAGCTAGTAGATTACTAGGTGCAGATATGTTCAAAACAGCCGAAGGAAAATGCCCGTCCTTTTTTGTGAGAAATATTTATTTTGTCAAGAGAAATTCTCACAAAAATAAAATTGTATACACTACATGATCGTACGTTAATTTTAGTGTTCTCCAACACAAATAGCTTTAAATGCACAATAATGAGCTAGAGGACAGCCAAACTGCTTAACCAAAGAACCGTTTCTGCACACCTTCAACTGTTGATGCTTGAGAAAACGATGAATCTAGTTTGTTGTGCTTTACGCACTTTGTTGTTTACGCTTTTTCTATATACTAGTTATTCAGAGGAATTACTCTCCATATATTCAGAGAGACAGATCAGATATTCAGAGGATATCTTTTCAAGATATCACAGCGGTGAGTAACTCCTAATAGTTTCTTTCTTGTTACCGTATCAATTTACATCTTTTTCACCAATTTACATGAGAAATTAGCCTTCGGTACTTCATTCTCCAATTAAATAAAACCGACTGCATCAAAAAATATCTGATTAGCAATTCCCACATATATAACTCCATCCAGCCGCATAAAGATCGACCAAAAAAGGTATTTAAGCGGCGTCGTTCTAACCAAATTCCAATGGTTGTGGATGGGGTGAAAACGCATATAGGAATCACTTTATCAATATAAATGTGACGTTATATTATGGACACATGTTTTTTTTAATGCACGATTTTTAGTTTGTGTGTAATGTAAATATAGACCAATAAGGCTACAAGCGCCTTGTTTTATCTACAAATGCACATATACTGAAAAAGTATTGATCATTTTCAAGCAAAAATCAAAACGAATATTTATATTTTAAAATAGTATTGCCAAACTAGATATGCGCCCTGGGTCGTTTTTCTAATAACACCATAACCCCGTCAACAAGAATTTTTTCTGGTTTGTGGACGAAAGATTCTGATAAACGATCTTTGCATTTCCCCAGTAAGGCTAAATTCACCCTATTATGAGAGTTCTGCAGGCACCGAAATAGTTTAGTGACGCAAGATCTGAACTTGGCAGATGTGTTAACTTCTCCTATTCAAGTTGTCTCAATTTGTAGCTAAAGATACGTGATCTGGCACTGTCATAGTGAAGGCGTACGTCTTTTCTGGTCACTAGTTGATATCGATTTTCTAATGACTTGTGTTAATTTCGTCACCTGGTCAACGGTGAAGGTCCAGATCGATCGCTTTCGGAAGCGGCAACAACTCGTAACATTCTTCAATGTTGATCTGGGTTTTGCTACGGATTATAAAGCACATTGTGACTTTTTTTACTTGTACATAATTGTTGCATGCGGTCTATTTCTCCGCACCCGTGATCAACCTATTTACATATGGCTATATCTGGTTGCGTTTCTGGAGAGCTTAAATAGGAATCTGACTGCATAAATTCTTTTAGATCCATTCGTGTGACATTCAAATATCGTGCTTCTTTTTTGTGGCCAACTTTTATTAAATGGTTTGAAACTATACAATGGTGGATCCTCAGTGCGCTAATGATATTACGCTTGCCAATATGTCAATATTGCTCAACTTTGATAACAATTTTACCGTATTGTAATTAGCTGACCACTATAAGGTGTACTTTTCGGTCCAAAACTTCTTGGACGAACCATCTTTGGCCCATTTCTTGCAATAACGATCATATACAGCGAAATTTTTTTTTATCGACCTAGGCAACAATCGTTCTTTTCTCATAATCAATTTTTTGAATGTAGCAAAAATTCACACAAACTGTTTAAAGTGCTCTATCTCAGGTGTGAACAAAGGCATCGAACAGTATTGGCGCATATATAACTGTCAAATATCAGTTTTCCTATGATACTAGCGCCGGCCGGAAAAAGAGACCCGCACTACTTGACATAAGCTAGCTAAGAAAACGGTTAAGACATTTGGATATTTATGTAGTTCGATCGCTACCTTCTGTCATATAAGAAACGAAACAAAGTCATCATGACAAAAAGCAATGCTTAGTTTTAATATTTAAGCTAAAATTAGCTCAAAATTAATCTCTTCGTGGTGAAGGAAGGCTCGGTAAGACAAAACGTTTTTGCCCGAAATCGATGCTTGCGTTCTTCCCAGTTTTTATGTGACTTCGAATTTTATTTGAGATTTTCGATCCTTCAGAAGTCAAATTTTGAAAAATTAACTAAAAAGCCATTTTTGGTACACATGAATTCTTTATACGGAAAAAATGTAATGGCCAGTTCGGAAAAAATAGTACTAGCTACCAGTGAGGCTGTTCAAATAAACTTGAATGGTTAGTTTTTTAAAATAAATTTTTTTTCGCGCCTTTTAGTAGTTTAGGATCTTCGCCATCGAAATTGTAATGCCGCTGCAATGTTTTGTATGTAATGTATTTGGGTGATCATTTGACGGACGGGAATCAATTAAAAATTACTTTCGGAATGTTTTGAAAATAACGAGGCTCATGCCAACGAACCAATTGGGTACCTTAAATATTCACGACTGTCAAGAGGAACATGTTCAGCATCTTGTTAAGGATATCTATTTTTGTTTAGATGTAACCCTAATATAAGAAACGAGGCATATTGGGAAAGCATAACTTAGTTGGGCTTCCTTGTAGATAGAGCTGGAAAAGTTGAAAGCTATATCGAAAGGAACATATAGGAAATCATATGTGCTTGTGCAGCGGTCTGCATTCTCAATTCAGAGTTTGATGACATTGCTATGCAATTTGATCGATACGAGCAAAATAAGAGCCGCAAGCAGGTTTCCTAAGGACACATGGGATAACCTTGTTGGCATTTACACACATGCACTGACAAGGATAAAGGAAGAGATCAAAAGGCACTTGTACGCAATTCTACAATCTGTTGCATAGTATCATTTCAAAATACTGATCCAATTAACTTTTCTAGCAACTGGTCACGTGTACAGACTCACATGTTCATATATTTATCAACAGGATAATAGAAAGCCGTATTCAATTCAACATGATGCACACATTAAACCATAATGTGTTCCTGTAACATCATATTTTACTTCAGGTCTGCCCGAAGCAAAATGTGGGTCCGTAGAGCAGCTGCAGTGTTCATTCCTTGCCGTACAAGGGGGAGCCACGTATCCTCTAGAGAACAATGACGACGGATATGGAAATGATTCGCCTGCCGAGGGCGAAGCTGACACTAATTCCGAGGAAAGCCGTTGTTCGGTGCAGAAACTTTCGCCAGAAGTCGAGCGACCAGTCATGAATGTCCGATTTGTGGAGCAGCATATGAAGAATGTGGATAAATTCGAAAAGGTAAAACAACGCAATCCAACATTTCACTGTTGGATGTTTGTTTGGATGGTTGTTAACAAATGTTGTTATTAACGAAGCCCCTATAGACATCATTTAATCACTTGATAGATGAAGTACGATCTAGTATTCCCGCATTTGTCTTTTACGCTTGGAAACGCAGTTCGAAAAGGTGTCGAGCGTTTCAACGTTGTCGGTAGCTAGTTTGCAGGCCCACCTGGATAGATCGTGAACGATTGCTAGTAGCATATGTTATGGGTCAGAAAATGTTGCTATTTTTAATACTTTCGACGACAGGCTTTTTAAACTGCCCTATGAAAAATTCACTAAAATTCGAAATTGAGGAACATATCGCCCGATTTATTTTCGTTATTGCGTTCATAAACTTCTACTCAGACAGCGAGCGCTATTCTACAATCCTAAATATTCTCCTGTGTTAGATTTTTAGCTAAAGAAGATTTTCGGTGAAAAGAAACAGCGGTGAAAGTCACTGTTAAAACCGATGAGTTTGATTAATCTGCTCAAATCGAATGGCTTTTTGCGTAATTTTCTAGTTTACTGCTTCTGTTCCCGATTTAGTGTTATGGTTAAGAAGTTATACAAACAGCTCTTGCGTAGCATGCCCGTCTTTGGGCCTCGAAGCCAAAGAGTACAAAGTCAGAGAAAGATATTTCTACTAGCGTGTAACACATGATCATTACTAAATGGCAAGCTATAAATCAAAACACCATAGACGTCCTTAGCATCTACGTTTGGCGCTTGGCGTCAGCCGTCAGGAGGCAATCCTATCACCGCTCTCCAGTGTAGTGCCGGATTTCGAACTATTACAATTGCTTTACTACTATTACTGCAAACATGAAGAAGGCTTTATAAAGGTTAAAAGGCTTTTAGAGTTCATCGGCAGAATGCGAAGTTCATTAAAAGAGCGAATCGTGTATCTCTGAACAGATTGGTCAGATTGGTTACGTCATCCGTGCCGTTTCCCCGCAGCCGCAAGCTGAGACTAGAGGTCTTTGAAACAATCGGCACGAAAGCAAGAAGGACACAAAAATAATTACGTCTTAACCTATTCATTGAATATGCATATTGATACTTTAGACGAGCGGGCAATGCGTTTGCCTGTACCGCCGCACGCAAAACACGCCATCTACGTGCTTTGTCATTATTCGTTTGTAGATAAGTGAGGACTGGCAGTACGTCGCCATGGTACTGGATCGGGTGTTCCTTTTCTGCTTCACCATCGCCTGCGTGGTCGGCTCTGCATGTATCATATTCGAGGCGCCATCATTGTTCGATGACAAGGTGCCAATCGATGTGCTACTCTCCAAAGTAGCCCCGCGGGTAACTATCGACATATTCATTTCTGTATTTTGTTGTTTTGACGCTATGTACTTTTTGATTCCATTGTTCCATGTATCATTGCCATCGAAAGCTACGAGGTATGTTTTGCCTATGAAGATAAATCATGTCATAAAGCAACGACCAGAGAAAATGTTCTATGCGGCAGTATTATTTTCGCTTCCCATCGTTGAGAAAATCGCGCGTTAAATAAGTACGTGCAGAATCGTATGTACAATTTGTAGCCTGGACACGTAACTAGACAGTTGTTGTCGTTACCGTTTTTCATTGCTTATACATTACAGGCCGTGGCGTACAGACACGAAATGATATCGAAGGGTGTCCAGCTTAATATACCCGGCTAACTCCAGCAGCGATAGCAGGATGGTGTGGTTATGTGTCCGTGTAAAATTTTACAGTAAAATCGATTCTGATACGCATACACACGTATATACTGTGGTCACCTTACTTACTTACTTACTTCTACGCAAGTTTAGAAACTAAAATCTGGGATAACTGGCCCCATTCGGTTATACTGTCGAATGAACTGATGCTCAATGCAAGATATGTTCGCGACCCGTCCTTGACTATTGTTGTTGTCGTCAGGCACGTTGGCCTACGCTTAGCGTACACTGAAATGCGGATTGACACGATAGCCTAAGCAATCATCGAACGTTTACTTGTTATGACCACATAATGGACGAACGCGCTCGGCTTCACAAATGAATTGCCTTTTCAGTACGTAGATAACGATTAAGCAACAAACAACAAGACGGTGACGTTCAGATGAGAAGGTATGGCCAATATAGTATATATATACTACTTAGTTGACACTGTTGGAAAAGATGTGATCAAAATGAGTAGTTAAATATGTCCACCCAGACTTTCTCAGTAGAGTGGTGAATCAATGCAAATGCTGTTTTCACAACACGAAAGATCCGTGGACCGGCTACTAAGAAAAAGAACAATTTAACACTTTCGAGTCAGGAACAAACTATCTCTTCGTAATCTTGCAGTATGGAAGTCTTGGAAATAATTAATCTCTGATAGGATCTATGTTTTATTCTGGAAACTGTTCAAAGTGATCCACTGTGGATCGAGAGATGAATCACGAATTGGATAAGTGGTGATAACATGCTTCTGGCATTCTCAGCCTATCTTACCCAGTTACTAAGAGATAGTCTGTCTAATGCCGCCTGCCACAGCATACGGATTTAACGTGCGCGGTGTTGACGTCGATCATCTGGTATTATTCTAATTACAATGATTTGCTAGAAAGAAAGAGCGCCTACCGCGTGATAGTACTGTGTCCGGTGTCCGGTACAGTGTCTTGCAACCAAACTAGCATAGAAGATGTAAAGTCAGCCAAGCTATTTGAAAGAACTGGGTTCAAGGATGTAAGACTCATCTTTCCCAATAACGCATGGGTTTAGCGCATAGCGTATCGATCGATGCGAAACTGTGCATCCAGACATTCGATGACACGTGTAATTACTCAGAACGGGCAGTCACTTGCACCTTGAGTACATTGGGACTCAGAAGCTATCCAGCTGTCAAGGGTTATAGGTATAGTAGATACCACAATAAAGATAAAGCCTGAAAATATGCTTCACAAATAAGTAATAACTGCTAATAGTAGTGATAGTAAAAAATAGATTACGGGCGATGGGTGCTGACACCAATGCGTCAGCTCTGAAGGTTGAGTACGAACCTCTGCATGGTGCACGGAACGCGTGGGGCAGTGAATTAGAACGTTACGTTGTCATCACTACCATTCCCACTAGTAATCTGTTTTCGAAAGGTCCCTCAGTAGATATTTGCGAGACGGGGTGTGTGTATAGTATGTACGCGAGCAAGTTAGAAGTTAAGTACTGTTCGAAATAGCCGAATCGATCTTTTGTTCCGAGAGCTAATTAGACACGTACCTCTTTTGGAGAAGGCGCAAGATTCGTGCTCAGTATCAAACGGTGGAACTTGATTGGGGATTTTCTGATGGAAACATTATTGTTATAACGCACCAAATGTTATGGTATACTTGTTATAGCTATTTATTTTGGGGATGATCAAGGTGTGTCATGATAGAATGCAGAATGATGATTGTTTGCCTTTACCTTAATAATAGCAAGGCTTGCGCAAGAAAAGTATGGAGAGTTTGCAAAGGAACAAACGACGTTAAAGACGGGCGCATACCAGGAATAGCCCCAGCTATTCCTGGTACATGCCCGAGCTTGATTTAATTTTAGCACCGGTTTGTAGGGACACAGGAAATGTTCCTGTGTTCCACAAACGAAAAAGGTTTGGCCAACGCTTTTTTTAGGAGAAAGCGGGCTCACCGAGAAAACTCTTCTGAGCAGAGGTGCACTTCGGATATAAAACGGCTTGATCACTTTGAACGTCTAGCACAGTGCCGACTTCGCGGTGGCATTAACTAGTGAGCCATCGATAAACAGCTGTGATCGGTGTACTGCAGGAAGGTTGGAGGGTAGATGTATTCTTCAGACAAGGCATCCTCTATCGCTCTGGCCCAGAGAAACCGCGACCACTTTCGCGGGCAGTCAAAATTACTAGTTGTCAGGTTTATCAGGGGAACGAGTGGCTGTGAATGCCGTCTTCCGCCGACCGATCACAAAGCTAAAAAGTCTGTCTTAAAATGTAGACCACGTTGCTGCAGGTAAATGCTACTATGTAGAAACTCCCAAATTTACCTTTACCAATGCTTTTATATATTTTTTTTTAAATATTAAAAAATCTTTTTATAACTTTTATAACTTTAAAGCATTATAACTTAATTAGTTGGCAGGCGAATAATCTTCGTTTATGCTTTGTATGAGAAAAAGTCGAGCATGATGTTTGTTTAGTTTCAGTATATCGTAGAATGCCTATTAGACTTAACCAAGCTAGTGTCAAAGAAAACTAACCAAGTGTATACTACATCCATAAATGCGCTTCATGTTTTTATTCTTTTTTTTTTCTCTTTTATAAACCTTACCTTTGTTTATATAAGCGCACAAGGAACGTGTATCGGTAATGCAGGTATTGATGATTCATCACTGTGATACCTTGGCCACTGCATACTATTTGATAATAAAACAATATTCCCTCTTGTGTTCTACGGCTGTTGCGCATAAGCTGAATTTAGGTTTCATTGGTCTTAAAATGAATATATTCTGAACAAATTCTACTTTCCTTCACACCTGCTACTCTTACTTGAGTTTAAACCATTTACTATTTCCTCGACTTGACTAGATGGGTATTTTTCCATTAATCTATTAGGACGAAAAAGTCTCTACTTTTGTTCTTCGGCGCGGTCGAACCGCGTTTCATACAAAAAAAAAAAAAAAAAAATCTGCTTTCGATGAACAGATTTAGAAATAAAGACTAACTTCTAGCTAGATAGCACTCGTACACATAACTACAATTAAGCTAGACAAACTCCGTCTAAAATGTGTGCTTTTGAATCCGCCTAAAAATATGTACATTTACTGGCCACCAGTTTTACATGTCATCGGACAGCAAAATTTTCATACCTACCCACCCACCCTGGTTACCAATATATGCAATCTTTTATCAAGTTTGTACCGAAATATATAGTCTTCTCATAGCATCTACATTTTGAAGTGAATAATTGATTTTTAGTGCTCTGCACTTGCTTATTTGAAAAATCTTGTCTATTTATTTACTTCTTCTGTTTGTTTGTTTACGAGGGTTTGTTTACGTGTTGGCCTGCGAAAGCACAAAGGGTCGCTTGCTTAATAATATGTTTCCAAAAATAGAGAACCGTAAAAAACTATTACCTAGTTTATTTATTAGGCTTTTACATTATATAGCGTACTGATGAAAATTTTGGTTTGTAAAACAAAGTTTCTGTTGGTTAATTTGAAGGCTAATAAGTTTGCCTTTTGAGGCATTTGTGTTAGTTGTTTTTCTTCCGGAAGTGATATTGCCTAGAGAAGAGACTGACATTGGTAAAACAGACAGTGGTATTAAGTCCTTGGAGATCAATGTTAGAGATTACTTGTTAGTTAAGAGGCATGCAAAATTCGTAAAATCTAATAAGTAAGTTCTATGTGATCCTTCACAGAACCTTTTCTAAACTAGATAGCTGTTATAACATATTTTCATCATTTGCAGGATTTTCATGCACTTCTGCTTCATGCCCTCCCATTGTTGATGCAGTGTCAGCTAATGTGGTCATCCATCTTTACATTGACATTTGCTGTTTGCCTCGTGTTAAGCTCTATAACAAGAAATAACAACAACAACTACTACTAAAGCCTCTCAGCTGTTTCTACCATCAACGTCAGTCGGTTGGCCGGTGTTGTGCCATCACAATCGGACCAGTACGACGGTTACGTCGTTGTCCTATGGAACGGCGGCAGCAGAACATCTCTCGATTCGTGACGATTACGGTGATAATAATAATTATGGTAATGGTATTGTTTATTTATTTTATTATCAGTATTTAGCACTGATTCCACCAGTTGCTAAAATCAAAAGAAGAGATTTTCTGCCCTGGCTTTGGCATTACAAGAGTCTCTCTTTGAGCAGACTATAGGAGGCATTCCTCAGTCGTTTTCGGCATTTAGTAACCCTTCTTGCCTTTTTGTTTTGTCTTCGTCTTCTGTTTGCCTCCGCCACTTTTTTCTGACCTTTTGGCTTGTGTGTTCCTCTCGTGCCCTAATACAGTTGCTGTCGAAATATATTCGTCATATTCTAGTCATTCTACCATCTGATTGCTCTCAGCTTTTCAGTCGTGAACCGAAGCAGATGAGGTGCTTTCTTGTGGCGGGCGTATTCTGTCCGAGGTTACGTGGTTTCCTCTCGTTAAGTACAATACGAGCATGACCTAACTCAGAGGAAGTAACCATTGAAGAAACGTAGAGAGTCAAAACAAAAAACGTATATAATAACTGTAAATATTCAATGGTTTGTAGAATCCAATGCCACCTTCAGTTTATTTATGTTATCGCGTGAGGGTAAACAAGCTCGTGATTGACCAACCTGCTACCTAATTATGAAAAGACTTGAGATTCGTAGAATCAGATCGAATCAACCTGAAAATATGTAGATGTGATATGAGGGATGGTAAAAGGACAAAACTGGATTCATCCGTGAAAAATAGGGAGAAAATATATATAGAAATTTGTATTATTAGGTCGGTGTTTAGCTTATTGCCACCATTCCTTTTACTCAAACAGATTTATCACGTGCATTAAGGTTATTTAGTGTTGATGTTTCTTTCATGTGTTGATACATATGTGAGCTTTGTATTTATTCCTCTTACCAGTTCTTTATACTATAAGGATCCCGTTTATTTACTAGGGGATTTATAGGCGAGAACCAATCGGAACTATATTATGGAAACATTTTGATTACTTACGTTAGGTCACGATTACCGGTCGACTACACTCACGCAGCTTTTACCCAAGACTGTTTAGAGAGTATTGTGGCTCTAGGTCGCTCTTCCTCAATTTGCTGCGACCTTTTTATCTCCTATTCGTGCCCCTACTTCTTTTGTGGGAACCCTTCTGTAGCTGATACTTGTCGCGTCGGTGCCACATCTTTGAGAAGCATTGTTAGCGGTTTCTCCTGAACTTCTTTTACTATTCATACAGGTCAGCTGCAAAGTTTGTGAAGGTAGTCGGCCGGAGTGGCTCTTTTGTATAATAAAGCCTCAGCTTCATGCTAACCTGCCTTTGCATTTGGCCTTGATCTATTCAACTGTTTGATACAAGAGCATTAAACTAACTCGAGTTATCTATCTCTATGCTTGTTCCCGGATAGCCCTGCTTCAAACTGGGTTAGATACATTTTTGACCGCATTCTGTAGGCCAAATTCTTTCAGCCGAGTTCCGGGCAGCCAAGTCCTTTTTTCGCCATCTATTCCGGCGTCAACAAACTGTGCAGACCTTGAAATTCAGATACTACACTAGGAAGATTCGTTTGCACTGTTCTTTAACTAATCTCGTTTTCGTCGTTATTTGCCCTTCTTCACGCCATGTGCAATCATTTAACGGCCAACCGGGCGTGTCATGCTGCATAATGAAGAATTTCTAATGATTATTGAATGAAATTAACTTTTTGAAGACAGAGAGACATCACCGTTTTCTGTATGGAAGAATTTCCACGTATCATGTTTTGAGTTTCGGCTCATGCCATCTTAATCTACCCTGTTGATTCTGACAGATACGTATGCGTCTTTTCTAACTGTAATTGGGAGATAGCTACGCACAAGGGCTTTTTTAATTTTATCGCCATAATCGCACCGCCTGGTATCGCAGTAATCGCTTGCCGGGATCATGCTGTACGATATAAGAACTAACACAGAATCAAGCCCTACAATATCAAGCACAATCTTTGCGCTTTGATGTTAGGGATTCTTCGATTGTATCGATTTAATAATTGCCCAGAAGAATATAGCTGTACGTTTTGCCTGCGTGAGCCCAGCGAAAAAAAAAAAAAAGCTTAACGGTCTTTTGCTTAATGTGCACATCGCGGCCTTTTCAACGATTGATCTTGGTCGAGCAGCTGTGCCAAACCTTTATGGCTGCAGTTTATGTCGGTCAGTGAACACTATTAACGTGAGTCTCGAAATCACTCAATTGCTCAATATCGAAGAAAACGAAGAGCCCAAAAACGTTTAGGAGATTATTATGGCTTATCTGAAGCGCCGGTCCATCCATCGGTCGGTCGGTCGGTCGGTCGGTCGGTCGGTCAGGTTCATCGTTCGACATGTGTTAAAAAGAGTTGATGCTTTTGACCCGGAATGGTATGCGATACAACTTCGTTAAAGAGTCGTTAGTTCGTTGGTAGGACCTTGATCTTAGTAACTTCGGCGCGCAAAATTTCTTCATTAGAAATCATTTTGCTCTAAAATGAGAGGTAATGTCATATTATATTACACGGACCAAATTACAAGAGAAGGTAACCCGGGCATGGTATTAATGGCGTTTGGTAACACGTAAACACATGCATCGACATTTTGTTTCTTTTGCCGATAACGTAGTATCAGACCAACCAAATGGTAAGTTTCTACCCTCCATAACGCTGTCTTGTTGTGTCTTTTTAGATATTGTAAAACTTCAATACTTCCAGTTTTACCATGAAATCAAGCTTTCCCGCACCGCCTATTAGATGCTTTGTTAGTAACGATCGTTTACTGTAGGTTATATCACAACTAATATAAGCAAAACTTTATCACACATGTTAATTACGCTAAAGGAACATTAGCTACTTTAAATAGGCGTCCAACTATTCCGTATAGTAGCGGCGGCGGCGGCGGCGGCGGCGGCGGCGGCGGCGGTGGCGGCGCTATGGTGACTCGTATCTCAACATATAGTGCTCACACATGTTGTATTGTCAACATTTACCATTTTTCATGTTCAGCCTTTATTAATCACAATGATGGGAAACTCAGATTGTCACAACAACAATCGCCGACCGTCCCTTGACCACTTCCCTTTCTTCTCAGATCTATGTGCATCAAGGAGAGTGCTTTCATCAAAAACTGCGCAAATAGAACAATGTCGCCGTCCCATGTACTTATCACTAACAGCAAATGTTCATCGCTATTATTATGAAAAGAAATTTTTTCATTGAATTACTACTTCTGATTACTAGCTATTGCCTCGTACTTTTGATACAGTTACAAAGCCAAAAGTAGGGGACCTAACGCTATCGTTTACATGACAACCATGATTGTCGCAGGTAGAACGCAGGCCGCGCAGAGGTGGCGTAGTCGATTACTGCTTTGGCCAACCGCCTCCGATGTTTCCAAGGGACAACCCGACAGTCTTATTGACCTGGAAGACCACCTTGATTTTCGGCAAAGTTGCTTAGCAAAAAAGCTTGTTCAATTTTATTAATCAATTATATATATATATATATATATACATTAATTATTATATTATTATAAATTAATATACAATATTAATTTATTAATCAATATATATTTATGAGATATGGGAACTACAGTTAGTACCGGCTGCTTGGTTTGAATCCATTATGCAGTGTCACTTCGTGTCAAACAAAAGACCAACAAACGCAAGAAGAAGATAGGACAAGTCGGAAAATAAGAGACAATTATCGCTTTTTTTTTCTCTTAAAAACTACTAGAAGAGCTCGTTTCTTCAAGAAAGCCAAGTAGAGGATTCTATATTAGGGGCTTTTGGTAACCAAAGCCAAGCCTTTGAAATGGATGTCTCTATTTTGAGATTTGCAATATGCTGTTTATGCTAGATTCTAGAAATAATCAGAACCTTCCCACTTCTCACCTAATGATTGACCCATTGAATTTATTGCCCTGACTATTATAAGGTCCAGCTTATGCCTATAGGTCTGAACGACTGCGATGGCGCCGAGAAGAGCTCAAACTGAGTCTGGTATACGAGTCACTACACGCAAGGCATTATGTTCTAAAAAGTCAGCATGCATATAATGGAAGAATACAGTGAACCTCTAAATCCTAATCCACTAAATAAAAGAGGGTGCTTGATATATTTCGATCGTAACTACACAATGAACTAATAATTTCAAGCCACTTTTGAAGAAGCCCGAAGCTAAGCAACTCGCCTCGCCGGTGGATATTAGAGATTTATCACTGATTTATAATGATTGAGCGGGAAAAACCATTGTAGACTGAAGTGTTACTGTTTTAAAACTACGAAAAGTTTACCCTGTAAATTTCTGTGAATGCCCGACTAACAATAATGAGAAAGACGTCCACGGACCGAAAGAGCATATCTACACGTATTATTTAAAAAAAAAAAAAAAACTGGGTCGAAATGGGCGACGTCTCCGGTAAAGGACTGAGCAGTTGCTGTAGGTTTTCCTACGAGTGAAAAGAATAATCTATTTGATAGTTACGGTTTCATTGACTGCATTACTGAAAAATTTGCATGTGAGAAAAAATATTTGTGCGTATGCCGTGGCTAAAACAGTTGAATACTTACGCAATCTCAAGAGCGATTCTGACCGCTAAGTGGGCGCCCGCCATCTTACAAATACTTTACATCCTCAACCATCGACTATGGGCTTATCTCTACTAATTAACCTGGGAAAAACATCTATTTCTGGGAAGAACCTAAGCAGACAGAGGTAACACAGGACAGAAATTACAATAAAAGCACTCTACAGAAGCAAGCTTTATTGTAAAGCCATTTTCGAATGGATCTTGCTAAGAAAGATGACATTACTTGACAGAATTTTCTATACACGGTGCAGATCCTGCCCGTGTCTCTGGAACGAAGGTTCAGCTCAGCAAATCCCTGTCTTCATTTTCAGTAAAGTACTTTGCTCCATGGATCAGGCCTTCAAGGCTGATTTATATTAAAATTCAATTCTGCGCCTTATTTTGGGAGGATAGAGAAGGCTAAGAGTTTTGAAGAATAGGCTCTAAGTAGAGGGAAAGGGAGTGAACAAAAATGGAGCATTTAAAAAACACGCTTGTTTTTACCTTTCAGCCTAATACATATGCTAGCCTAAACAATGTACACTTGCACGTCTTTATTTATGCTTTTTTTTTTTTTTTATAAATCGTACTCAATGTAAGCAACATGAAACAAATTTTCCTGAAAACTTAAAAATACCTTTACGTAGACAAGCAATCCTCAGTTTTTTCTGCTTCTCTGTGCATTGATTAAACGGTTGCACTGTCCCGCAATGAATTTTTGCACGATTTTTCAATACCTTACCAATACATTGAATTTAGTCTTAATTCGATCGAAACTAATATTCAAACGTAACACATAAAATAAATCCCTTAAATTATAGTATGTTAGGTAAACTGTCATATTTGTATTCAACAATGGCGTGGCTTGGGTGGCCAATGCGCACTCCTTTGAGTGCGTTACCATGGAACAGTTAGCCATCGCTGGCACAGCATGGCAGGCAAATGGTTGGTGAGACACATTTCTACATGCCGCATCATAGGCTGGCTGTTGGCGAAAAACCCAGATAAATCCAGCAAGACTTGTTTGAAGAAATGCCTAGTGGCTTAAGCAGTAGACATGAAAATAATAATTAAAAAATAGGTGGATTGTTTGAGTATAAATGTTATAGACTGACGCTAGCAGCACAAATTAGACATTTTTGGATCATCATCACAAAAAGTTTTTCTGGCTCAATGAGCGTTTTGTTCAGGCAGTGCGTACCCTTTTTACTGGCCTGGCGTATGGACAACATACTTTGATTGATCAATGCAATCTTCTTTTCTCTACCCCCTCCCCGTTCCCTCATATTTTCGCCTCCTTTCCCCCTAACTCGGTCGTATTATTGTAAGAAACGAGGCTTCGTTGCCGTCAACCGCCGCCTTGTACAGTGCGGCTAACATATAATAGGCAGTGGTAAAAGCGGGTTTAGCAATAGGAGATGCTGTGCCATGTCATGCTATAATATGACTAATATGCTGACTGATGATACAGCGGGGGTGTGTGAAAAATACAAAGGCTAAAATAAAAATGACATTGATTCAAAAATCAGAGGAAACATGTCAAATAAAGAGTAGTGGCAGTCGACAGGGGTTTCCAGGTCACCGACGAAAGCGTCTGCTTCGTTGTTTGACGATTCGGATACAAGATGCATGAAAGTAACAGATGATAGGCAATTGCCGAACACTGATATGCTTACAAATATCGAACGAAATTCGCGACACGATAGTGAGAAACGTAAAGCAGACGGTAGTTGTCGACCCCATCGATGCCGGCGAACATGGACGACGTCACAGGCGCTAAACGCCACTTGTCCGTTGTATCACGAAAGATGCCGGTGCAATCAAGGTGTATGGTGCGTCAGAGAGAACGCACGTACTGCAACAGCTGGGTAGGGGAGTTAGAGCAAGAGAGAAGAGGGACCAGGCGGCCAAAGAAACCACCTTCTTACCAACCGTCTCGTTGGCGATCGTCGATAACACCAGTAGCAGTAGCGGCGGCGGGATCGTAAGGCATCTAGCGCAATTGCAGCTCCTTTTTCCTTTACTTGGACTCACGAAATTATTATTATTATTATCTGGGTGATTTATCAATCGAAAAAACATACTCACCCTATAACGATGCAAATATATTAGGGTCAACTCTGGTTACATATACACGCTTTTAAATTATACGAGTACGATCGATACGTTTACTATTTACATCTTTAGAGAAGATTCCTTCTGGATAATTGAATATGTTTTCCTATCAAGCTAAAAAATATAGTACTATCATCAGATGTGCTTCTTCGAGAACGAACTATATGTCTGTTACCCCAAAAGCGAAACAGATACAATTTTCGAATACTTTGTTTGCGCTGTAAAACTGTTAGAGGAAACATTTTCTGACGCTGTGTTGAAGCAGGGTATAAAGCTCCGCCTTGTTTGACACAGGATCCTGGTTAGGACATTCACTAAAACTCAAAAAATAATCAGCGTGCAGTAAATGATTGCAGGCCGGGGATGCTCACCATGTTAGTTTTGTTTAAAGCCAGTACTGCGCGTATTGTTAACCACAGGGATATATACATGAAAAATGTGTTGGCCTTTCTTTCAAGGAATACGGATATTTCCATCAAGTTTCTAGGGTGACCTGGATCAGATATCGTGTCGTCCGAGAATGCCGCCTGCCGAAGGGCAGCGGCTGGCCTGGTCGTCTTCGACAGCATTCTACGTTTGAGCTAACTTGAAAGTTGCAAAAAAAAGAGATAAAAAATTGTTGTTAATTCGAGAAATGTCTACTAATTTAATCAAGGCACACACATTGAAATAACCTTTAGAAAACTATTGTTCAGTTATATGATATATATCAATGGTGTACGTTTGAGTCAGAATGCAGTACCTGGTGATGCCGGTACGATTTCTTACTTTTTGTGTGCGATTCTATGTAAGTGGCATTGCGCAGTATGAGAGTGTCTTGTTTGAGTTACACACAAACAAGGAAGAGAGTCTATTTCTGCAGGTACACAGGAACAATAACGACTTGCCGTTACAGGGATTGTCTAGAGGGAGCGACGAGTCTGCGATCAACTCTGAGCAGCGAATACTGCGAGTAGTAATTGCCGATGCGAGCGGCCGCGGGATTCACATAAAGCTCGACCACCATCACCACTACGATTTCGTCAGCAGATGTCGATATATAGGCGCGGTCGGGTCATTCTCAGAGAAACCAGAAGTGACTACGCCGAGAGAGACCAAACACGAGATGAAGATGAAGTCGAAAAATCGGCTAAAATGGCCGCTCTGGACAACAACGACAGCACAATTAACATCCTTGAACATTGACATAGCGGCTTCACTGAAATACCACGGAGAATTCGGCATCGGCAGAGCTCAAGCGATGCGCTTGCTGCTGCACCGGCGTCGGTCAGGGTCAGCCATCTGCGTAACGGCCGGCGCCGCCGATGACGACGGCGACGACCCCTCTCTCTGTCTGTCTGTGCACGTCAGCACAGAGAAGAGCACAGCAGTACACGGTTCAGATCAGACCAGCGGCCGTTTCGTCCGGCACCAATCGAATGCTACTACCATAAGATAGAACGGTCAGTCTGTAGTCGTTTGCTCCAATGCCTAAGACTGCCATGGGAAACAGGGGTTGACTGGTTTTTCTGTTTCTCACTGTGTGAGTGGTCTTATGATGATAATCATAATGATGGCAAGCATGATGATGATATATAGGCATATTTGGGACGCAAACAGCAGAGATAAACGTAACTGGTTATTGTATGACATATGCTATTTGTTTGCTTTGTTCTTCTAGACGACAAAAAAGGAAATCTATGATACAAATAATATACAACACATTTAGGGACAAATGATTACCATCTCTGTGGCATGGTGACAGGCAGCTGTGGAAGAATCCCTGGAATGCTTGCGATTAACCCGGAACTAATTATGATCGCATTGGTGACATAATACCTGTAAAAGTAGTCAGGAAGCAAATAAGCGCATATAAGAAAGATGGCGAACGAGGTGAAGTGGTATTGGAAAAAACTACGAGAAAAAAATAAAAAAAATGTAGCAATTTGCAAAAGCATATGCACACTGTTTTAGCTAACATAACTTAAGAGTTACCCTTATTAAATTCACTTGCTAACTCTTTTCCGCAGATGTTATCTTTGTGTGGCGATATTTGTATTTTGAAGTCTCATTTCACCACAGATCAGTCGTTTGACGAAACTGTCCGTCAAATAATAACTTCCTTTTATACTCCAGACAATGTTTTGAGTTTCTTCTATTGTTGCTCTCTATTGTAACTTGGTTAGCATCAAGTCTGTGCGTCGGTTGACCTGGTTCATTTGAGGTACTATAGTCAAGCTATTTTTTCTCAAACGTTCTCAATGGGTCTCCAATGTGTTTTAACTTAAACTCCAATGTACCTCCTATTCTTGGCCGTGTTTAATCACGACCGTAGCATATCCTGAAAAACAGTAATGTGTTCTTACTTTTAGCCAGCGTTACGCCCGTCAGATTATACGATAGACAGTTATAAGATTATAGGTCGCAAAATGTTTGTCCGTTCGAAACTTTTGTATATTTCCCTATGCTTTGTTTTTCTTTGGACGGCAGCTATTAAAACACTTTCGTTTACCCACAAAACCGTTGTAACGTTTTTGATGTACCAGCTGTGTTTCGATAAATTGACGTGCCAACTAAAAAAAAAAAACTATGAATGATCCTCGGGGACTGTGATGCCGTTGATAATATTAAATACGCGCAATCGAATCGAGATCGTATAAGGCTTTAACTAAATCTACTCCTTCTGTTGTATGTAGTTACGTTCGCGAAGACAGAGCTTCCTAGAAGAATGTTCCTTTCTTAATGTCTTCGTTTATTATTATAAATCAGTTGTTCGGTGTAGCATCAAGAACTAGCCGCATCGGAAGATACAACTGAAGTGGATCTGGCTGGGTGTATTTGAGAGTTTCCCCTATGAAACGGCTGGGTAATTATTTGCCGGCGTAGAAACTTAACAATGGCCGCATGTCCAGGCGGCCTGTGTCTTAATTACGACACTTTAATGTGTATGGGGAGCAAATCGTAGTAAATGTAGGATTAGCTTGTCCTCTTTGCAGTAAGCCACTCTTGTCACATTTTGAACAACAAAATCAGAGTTAACTGGGTGCCTAAGGTATACCCAAGTAAAAACCGACGATTGTAATGATACCCCAGAAGGATATTTAAATTGGATTAATTCAGAACAAATTTGATCTAGTTGTTTCACTGAAAACAAATTGGAAAGATCGGTCGGTTTGCTCTATTTACTCTATTTACCAAAACATTCGCGAAAAATGTCACAACTAATTTCTCCATGATGCACCATATTGAGTGATGAAATGTACTTTTTTTTGGAGATCGTTCAAATTCGAATAATTTTCTTTAGCAAAAGGGCTTCGCTAGTACGTTGAAAGTTAGACAGTATCAACGGTCGTTATTTAGGTCAGTTATATAAAATGCCCCCTATGTATAACATCTGACCCTTAAAAGAGGGACAATCTCAGTATTTTGAAATATTTTTTATAATATTTTAATAAATATATATTTTATTAATGAGACGTAGGAATAACTAAAAAGTTGTTGCCATCGGAAGTTCCTGCACGAAAAGGGCAGAAGAGAGCTTATAAAGATGTTAGTTATAAATATATTAGGCCGGCTTTGTTCCTTTCTAACTAGTCATAGAGCTGCACCTTTTAAAAGACTATCTACTCTTCGTTGAACAGCCTCGCCTAGAGCCAACTACTTCTCATACAAGTATTACTTTACGTTAATATCTCTTAACTTAGATATGTATTTTGACAGATCAGAAAGTCGATCGACGTCTGGCTGAGTGACTTGCACGGCCTGCCACGGAAAGACCAATGACAAATCCCAAGCTAGCTAAAAGTTAGTTTAAAAAAATATAGAAAGCACATATTGCGGTGCTACAGCATAATTATTTGCAATATTATATACCAAAACTTAACATGTAACTGGGGTGTATGTATAGTAAAAAAAAACACGTCGCAAATGTTTTAGGGGATGGTCGGCCTGTAATAAGCATCCTGTGTCCAACAGTTGCATATTCCAAAGGCTCTTTTTTTACAATATATTAGGCCGATTTCCTGAATCAAACTGTTGATTTTTAGTCGTATCAAATAAAATTCTATTATAAACATTTTCATTTAACTTTAATTACCATTGCACTGTCTTGGAGAAATGAAATAATAAGTTGATTTTTTTTAATAAAACGTGGAACCTATCGGCTACTCATGGGGTAAAACTTTCAAAAGCAGTCAAATCAGTGTCCACTTTTCTTGTCAGCTTTGATGTAAAAGAAGCTACTAAAGTGAGCACAAACTAACGCAGAAGACACCAAAATACAAATCGTTCTTTTTTGTGGACCTCTTTCACAAAATGGATGGCCCTGCCCAAAGAAGCATCTCGTTATTGACGAGTGGCTTCAAATCTAAATGAGAGTAATGATGGTTTTTGTACACGTATGCGAGAATGGTATCCCAACTATTTCGTGAAAGAGTATAAATACTTACAGAAATACGTATACAAGCTTCGCAGCATGGGTCGTACGCATGGCCATTGCGAAATCCAAGAAGCAGCCAACGTAGAGGCCTACGTTGATATCTTGATATTGATCTCGGATATTTTCTTCTATACCTATTTTAAACACACTTAAGTACAAATGCTATTTTTACTGCTAAGCTAACGAAAGTACAACTGTTTTTAACAAAATAACACTCACCCCCCTAAATCTCTAAAGTTAAAAAAAAACTCTGCATTCTTAACTACGACACACAATGCCCATGTCTCGTCGTTCGTCGCCGTGTTTCACGTCTTGAAAAATGAAAAATGGGAAAATCACTGACGCTCATCACTGACGTGGCATCCGTAAATTAAACCCGCAAAAAAGAAAATCCGTAAATATCCACTTCATTTACTCAGAGATAGATGATCAAAACTCATTACCTTATTATTCTTATGAAATTCAGGCAGTACCTCAATATGGTAATCTAGATGCACTGAAGATTTAATGACTTTTTTTAAAAAGAAGTCGTTAAATCTTCAGCCATTCAAGGATGCTATTGATTAACATTGGCTATTTTTTCAATTCTCATGAAGTTCAACATCGAGGTGCGGCCCTTGCGTATTTTAATGACGAACCCATAGCGGAAAGGGTTTAGGTGTTTACATCGGATACACTACCGTCTTTACTTTGAATTTTTTGAGGATATCCCTCGTTTGTAACAATGGCTTTACGAAATGTATCAATAGGATTTCTTGATTCCTCCATACGCCTTATGTTTCTTGCCGCCCGCTAGTTAAATCGTGGGTTGTTCCTCAGGTTATTAAAACTTAATTTAAAAAAAATTGACCGTTGTTTACTATGATCTTCGCGCGTCCTTCAGACAGCTTTCCAAATCGATATTTCCAGAAATTAATATCTTCATTTGCGACAAACTAGTCAATACGTTTTAAGTTGCAAAACATTCCCCGTCAAAGGAATTCTTCAAGGATCGAAAAAGGTTATCATCAGAAGGAGCAAGAAAGTTATTATGAATTGAATGAAACAAAACATGTAATTAAGCCCCGACGATTTTTGGTGAGTCACTAAATATGTGCGGAATCGAGCGTTGTTATGACAAAACATGGCTCCTATCCATGCATTGCCTAAGACGGTGGCGCTGTTGACACGACTTCACTGGGTAACGGTTTGGTTGTTTAGGAGAACTTCACGGATTAGCATCCCCCACCAAGTCTATCACATCGTTACTTTTTTCGAATAGGGTCCAGCTCGAACTCCCATTTGAACGATACGACTACGCGTTGACTATGATTTACCTTTACTTAAAATATTTTGTAGATTTCCCCTTCTGTAGATTTCCCCTTCTCATCACCTATAAACATCTGTGCAAGAATAGGATCGTTCTTGTCCAATTTCAGATGCTGAGTTGTGTACACAAGGCTCACCGACTGTTGGTCGGTTTAGTTGTAAGAGATCTAGATGTCCGCTCGATTAACGTTATCGTTGCTTGCTGGATGTCTTCAGAAGGTCGGTTTCGATACTACTTTGTCGTCCGTACATGGCTTCTAATCGAGAACAGAATTGCATCATCCTCGTAGTCGAAGGGTCAACCTGCACATGCCATGTCTTCGATACTGAAGTGACCAGTTTGAAAAATAGCGAACGAGTTCTTGGCCGTAAGATCGACTACGGTCTTAGATGTATAAAGCCAAGCGAGATTTTTCTCGCGAGTTCGGGTCACATTCATTGATTTGTAGAATCAGAATTCAGCGGGAAAAAATGTAAGGATTTTTCACATCGAGCCGTATACCCGGTCAGGTTCTTGAAGAAGCGGACTGTAGACAGCCGAAATCTATCATGGAAGAAACAAAAAACTTGTTGTTTTTGAAGAATAACGATACTTTTTTGAATAATCTACATGTTATTGGAAAACCACATTCGGAAGAAACTCGCGAGCGGACTTGGCCCAAGCAGGCCAAGGCTTGGGCTGCCCTGTCCAATTGATCATTGATTGATTTCAGTTAACTATTATTTGACCTAGTCCTTTTGCTGTTTACAACCTGATACTCAGTTCGAACATTGACTTGAAACGACATGTTGTCTTTAGGCCTAAATAAATTTCCATATTCAATTACTGTCCGGTATCACCAAGCTATAAATAATGGAACAAGTCTAAATAGGTAGTTGTGTCCAATTAGACGTTATAGAATGGGCAGTCTGGTGCCCTTGGTGACCTCATGTTCGTCTGTTCTAATCGTTCTATCGTCTTAACTTCACAAGTTCTACATGAGGTTCTTTCACTCCTTTTGATGGGAGATATCATTCATTTAGTGAAGCGTCTGAACCCGTTGCGTCAGCGTGTTTTTCTACTAACATTGCTTGCATCGTCACTGATGCCGTATTCCTACCAGGCGTACAACTGAACACAGGTTTATTAGCTATCTAAATTGCGACCTAAGTAAACACGAGCGATAACATAGACGGGGAGATGGAGAGAGAAATTGTCGTGTGTAAAACTACTAGTTAACTGGCGAAACAGTATTGTTTTTAAAAAATAGACTGGCACCGCTGGATAGTGCTGCTAGCTGCCGACTCAATCAAGATGATTTCATCATGTCTTTTACTGTTGGTTGCTGTTTCGTTTGTATTCAACATGACATCATAAAGTATAAGCCCGATGATCTCACGCTATTCGACAGATCCACTGTTTTTAACTCTCGTTAGCCAGTCACCCGACGCCATTGCTAAATTCTGCCACCGAGTTTTCTGCGGCATATTTCTGTAAGGAGCTCGGTGAAGCGGCTCCACAAGATCACGATGTCACCGCGCGGTAAAACGCTCGAGATTTTCATGCAATTTGTAAGTAGTGTGATTACATTTGAATAAAATTGCTAAGTGTTTTTTGATTGTTTATTTGAAACACGAAAGTGACTGTCTGTATCAAACAATGCATACACAATACAATTATATAGCTGAATCTACAATCTGCTGTATCCGTATCTGAGATATCCCTAATATCCGCACCATCTCTATAGGCAGTTACTAAAGAGCACACAATTAATTGATAAATATAAATCACGGTGCGTCATGAAAGGTAGTTGCCTCAGTCACACAATATTATGTAGGTGCATTTTAGCTGCCTGTCTCTTGAGTCTTTCAATCAAAAACCTCTGTCACCAGCCAGGTCTCATTTATCGCAGTGTTATCTCTCGAGTTTGTTTAGGTTGGTGTTCTGAGGTCAAGTATCAAAGCTTGGAAGATTCATGCCTAGACTATAGACAAATCATGCGGTCTTTGAATCTGCGAGTACGAGTTCCCAAATAAAAAAACATTTTTATTTCATCTTAGTCATTTTCAGCTTCTGGTCTGTCCTAGAATAATTGTACACGACATGAAGTTGGGAAAACAAAAATTGCAACAATCGGAGACGTATCTTGACTGTGCATACTTACTAGACCTTGCCGTAAGTAAAACATTTTTACTACTACGAAAACTACATTCGTTCGAAATAAAATTGACCACTGCTCGCCAGGGTTTTATAAGTGGGTATGATCACATTTTGCCTGTTAGCATAAAACGTAATTATTATAAATTCAAAAAATTTTAAAGTAAAAAGTATTTCGCATCAATAACCTGAATGTCCGACCTTGTCATTAGCTACATGTAGCTGATTAAACACCATTGCAACAAGCATCGTTGGAATATAATAACGCTGTTTCTTGTCGGCAACGCAAATTACGTTTCTTTCAGTGAGACAACAGTTAGGAGCTGTTGTGCTTCGATATCATTTTCAGACGCTCAGCTCTAATGCAAGGCTATAGAATCATATTTGATTTGGCCTTTGCTTTGATTCTAGCAATACAACGGCTGGATTTTAGACTGCGCGAGTCGTAAAGTCGTCTAGTTCTTGACACATGTTAGTGTTTGTAAGTGAAAACCCCTATATGGTACAGGAACCAACATAGAATGCCGGAATAAGGCAGGTCGATTCGGCGTACAGCGATGAGCATGAAACTATGGGCAGCGGCCGGTAAGTTGTGGCCGTTCAGGCCTAGAAGCGAGCAGCCACTGACCAGAAACTGTTTCCTTTTGACAAAGCTTGGCCATAGGAGCGCAACAGCGGTGTCTGAAGTTCTTCAAATGTTCTATACAAAAGTTACGTCGGTGCGTAAGGTAGGTGCCAAAATAGAAGACGGAAGACCAATTTAAAAAAGAGAAACAACTTTTGTAGCGTCCGTTGGATCTTTTGAAAAGATTGGGGTGCAATTCTGTTAATATAAGATAGAATCAAGATAAAGGCGAATGAATAATTGGGCAAAATAACGTTAAAGCGGGAGCTAATATCGCAAACCGGGACAAACTTGTGTTTAACCTAACTTGCGCAGCAGTAGTTCGTCTGCAATCTATTGTGTGTAACATTTATACGGGAATGTGCTTCCTTTAAATAGTACGAGGCTACCTCGAACTCGTGCAACATATTCCATAAGAGGAACTGCTGCGCGAGGCCAGCGCGTTTGATGGCATATATCCTTTCTTTACATTTAGTTCAATTCGCTCTGAGCCCAGATATTCCAAAAAGATCATGCACGGGATGGCTAGATTTTTTTGCAATGAAATTACAGAAGCGCCCTTAACAATAAATCTACTGATATAATTTCTAATATGATGACAACGGTCAAATCGGCCGCTAGTGCTGGATTTGAAACGATCCCTTCCTTCCCTACCATCGAAATGAAGTATGCTTCCACAAAAATTAGATGTCGCCTTTTGGCAAGCTTCGACAACAACAGAGGACCACAAAGGCAAAAGAAGATTTGACTTTTGCCAGCTCATTTAACAACCACTGCTGCATAGGGTCCATGTAAAGGTCAAGGTCAGGGTCAAGAAGAGCTTCGAACACGATAGGAACCACAAACAGTTTTAACCTTTTCGAGCTTCCGGCAGTACTCTTAAAAGCTGAAACTTTGTATCGGTAGCGTGGGGGGCCACCGGCCAGAACTCAACAGGTTTCATTGTCCAAAAAGACAGCTTTAACATGGTTTAAATCAAAGCAAATACATCTGAACTTTCTCCGCAACGGGAAATAAGGTGTTCATCCTATGGAGAGACGCGCACCGAGAGTATTCCTTAGTAGTGTAACGCATTTTGTTGTGGGAGCGCCGAGTTTTTTTTGCTTAAAATTTAGGATTCAGAGCAAAAAAGTTCACTGCTTATTTTTCAAATGGCAATACGAATATTCGTATAAATTGATATTTGTCAACCAATGACGCTACTGATATTTCGGACTCCCCTACATTTAGCGACTTTAAGAAACCATAACAAACAAGTACAGTTTGGTGTATTTTTGTAGAAATGTCTGGTTCTGCAAAAATCCCGTAATTGCAGAACAAGAATAACGAGGAAAAAAATGGCTGTCTCGATAATGAATGATTACCTGCCGGTTAATTGTTTTTACGTAAAGTTACTTCTTTACGATCGGCGTACTTCTCAAAGGTGTAAAAAAGACAAGAAACGCTTTTGGAAAGGTAAGTGATTCATAGTTCAACGTTAGACGCGAAGAACTGAGCGAAACTTAGTTTTCGGTATACGTAGATAGAGTCACTAACATCCGCACTCGAATAATGGCTATGTTGTGCTGATTACTTAGCATGTTATATAATACTAACAGCGTGAAAAGGCAATAGAAAAGCGTTCGCTCACGTAGTGGCTTGCCCCTTCATGCAGCTAGAAGATCTCCCGATTGGTCGGAACTCATTCAAGTGGGTTGGTTCATCATCTCGGATCCTTTCCGCCCACAATAACCTGATGGTACGTCGCCACTATATGTGATGAGCAAAGCTATTCGAACAGAAATTTTGTGGACTTCTGTGAATACCACAACGCACCGCCATTGGTATAATAGCGGTCGCAAGCGGTGCTTTGTTGTCTTTATTCAAGAATGTCCATTTCTAGTCGTCAGAAGGTTGTTGATGATCGCAGCCATCGAAATTTTCCTTGCCCCTTCGATGATGCATTACAATCGGTGACGCCAACTCAGTCAAGCAAGAAGCGGGCCTCTGTAAGAAAAAATACGCGCTGATGCTACCCGAAGGATGACCGTCAGCGCTTCTAGGCAACATGCCTATGCGCAGATCACGTGAAATCCATTGTTTAAAGAAGAGCATGAACATACATAGTTAAATCCATCTAAAACGCTAAATTTAGTTATTCAAATTAAGCTTCCTAAAATCCCGCCAAGGAGGGATTTCCATCATAGTACGACGATCTTCCTGTTTAGCATTTTGTTTATTTTCTCGAGCTTTATAATTTTCCTTCATACCAGTCTAAAATACGCTTAGTTTCAAATTATTATAATAAGAATATCCCTCGAAACAGAGCCTCAATATCAAAAGCTTTTCGTAGATTACGCCAAATAGTGCAACGGCTTTGTAGGAATCTACGGTCTCTCTTGTACTATATGCTCAGTGTATCCGGGCGCATGTGCTGGTATAGAACAGCCCGATGAGATCACTAGAGGTTTGATCTAAAGTAGTTTGTAGACATTTCTACGATCCTTCCTCCTGCAGTTGTATTCTGTCTTATTCTCATGATGTAGTTTTGTTCGCTCTGTACCTTGCAGCAAGCACTATGGCGCGCCTCAAGCGATGAAAAGTTAGTTATAATCCGTTTCTCTTTTTGAATACAATGTTGTGTTGCGAAAAGTTTCAATATTATTGCAAATATTGCTTTTGTATCTTCTTAGATAGGCTTGATTATGGGCTCCTAGTATCGTAAGTTGGATGCTTTCTGCGGCTGTATGAGTCAAGAGCTTCCAGTCAGGCGAAGTTCATATTGTGCGCAGCCCCAAGTTTACTCTTGTTAGCTGTTTCGTTGCCTCACTAACAAGGCGTACGTACAATAGTTTCTCGCCTCGACGCCAGGAAATCTCACAGTGCTCTGAAGCTGAATATGCTTTTTTATCTCGTTGAACGAACTGCATGTCTCCAACTATATCGGTAGCTAATCGATTAAAATCACCCAATTATTTACACACTCATTGACTTCATAAGCGTTTATCTTCTCAGACACTTAATGCGTTTCTTCACCTGTGACACTGTTAGAAAGGTCATTGACTTCACTTTCATTGGGCGAATAGTATCCTGCTGCGCAGTAAAGGAAAAGGCCTGTTATCAAAGATCATAGGGGTGACAAAGCTGTGCAGATACGCCCGATGCGCATTTCAATCCGTAACACCCTCAATCAACCTCATAGCGTAGCGTGGTATCGAGGTGTGCCTTACATAGCAGCTGTAGCGTACCTTTCGGTACTGCGTTTTCATGCTCTGTGTCATTTTCTATCATCTGAATGCTTTTATAATCCTGCAAATTGAAAACGAGTCATAAACGTACGGGTGCACCGTGTTCGTAATGGTCAGGCGTATTTTCGAGATGATTTGCTGAGACTGGTGAATGGGAGCAAAGGCAAAGCGGGATTGTACCTTATAGGCGTCAGCTTCACAAACTTGAATGAACTTAAAGGATTCGGACCAAGAAAACGTTGATTCGTAGTTTCCAACAAACGTTAAACGGTTTTTTTTTAATCCCCGAGTTCCTAGCGAGATTTTTCTACTGGTCCAAGTTTTATGAAACCGCTCTCTCAAAGTCTAGTGTGACATCTTGATGTACTCGTTCTTCAATAGTGTCTTAACAATACACACGGCCACTGAAATCTGTCATATTTCGCAAGAATCCTTTCTTATATTTGCAGCTTGTTTTTTGTTACTATTGCTCTTATTCATTTTTCCCGTATGAACCTAAATCCGTGTCAGAATCTCGCAGAACACTTGCTGTACCTTATTATTAAAATTAGGCTTAGCCTAATTCTCGCTATCTTGCATCGTGAAAATATCTGTCTAGCCAACAAAGGACGCATAACGGCCCTCATTTTCTCCTCTTAGTGTATAATACGTTGGGAGCAAATACGAGATAGGCCTGATGGCTATTCTGGCGGACTTCGATAATAGAATTATGTCTCACACCATATTGCGCACATCTATTTCAAAACGTTGTGAAATTTTCGAATAGATCGAAGTACGAAATTTTAATTTCAAGCTACTTTCAGATGTCGACTAAATGAATTTGTATTAGAAGCCCAGTTCCTTTCTTGCTTAATCTTTGACTAGTATGTTTAGCAGACAAAGGTGAAAGTGGCTTTACGCCAATACGACGGGCAGCAGAATGCAAATCGGTGCAATTGTTTATTGGAAGTTAAGCTACATTAAAAAATATTGCAGATCCTCTGGACGGCTATATTTCCGTCCACTTCCGATATATAAATGCTAAAGTGGACTAAATAATACGATCCTGTTATAAACGGCAGAGCTTGCCTTTGTCTGTTAAACACAGTCCGGCATTTATTTATAAGCTCAAAATAAAAAACACAATTTTGGTTAACTTTGTTGGGTAAATGGATATAGTTGCCGAAATTTCTAGCGAGCCTAGTCTTTAAAAAACTTTGCTTTTTAAAAAATTCTATAGAAAAAATCGAGCGATACGATAGGCTGCATGAATGGCGGAACGAGTACCCTACGAGCAGTTTTGCGTGCGGTGAATTCCCCCTTCAATAACTTCGGCATTTTGGATGCGTGTTGGCAGGCGCCAGTGTATCAACGAAACTAGGTAGCAGACAAATCAAACTCACCCAATTTCGGCTACAAGAAGTTTTTGACATGTGTCCATTACGAGGGTTAGGTCTTAAAAAAGGCCTGATGGCACCGTCTACCCAAATCCTCATCATACGATGAAAATAGCTCCACTATGATACTCGTGAATAGTGCGCGGTTCGGGTACGCTCGCGTGCGGCAATTTTGTTTGTCTATTGGTTCAATTAAGTAAAGATGTTAATCATCTAAAAAAATTAGGACCGCGTTGCAGCTGTTTATGGGTGTATGTAGTAAATGCGAGAAGCTTTGCATGGTGGCTCTCGAAATAGCTTGAATCTTATAAATTTAAACACCGGGTCGTCGAACAGTACATAACAGTTAGTATCATACGACAGGTTCAAACGTGGGAAGATACCAACCCTTAAACCTTGCACAAGGCTGCACAAAAAAGCCCTGGAGAGCGCAGCATGCCTAGTGTGCAGTGCATAATTATGCCGTAAACGCTGAATTATGCAACTGGACTCTTTAGAAAAGCTCGACGACTTCAATGATCTTCTGTATTTTCTGCCAGTTGCTGTAGACGGATCTCGCCCGTGTCATCATCAGTCATTTAAGTTTGTGTATCTGGAATTTTAAAAATATGAATGAATACACAAATGCTCCAGAGAGAGATCTATTCCACCTCTCAAACGCGGCCACAGATGATTGGGATGTATATTGTATTTAACTCATCAGCCATTTAGAGTGAATATTAGAGACTTTTGTAGAGAAGAAAAAAAAGAGAAAAGAAGGCGCAAACATCGGTGGTTGTGTACTTCCTGGTCGTATTGAGATAGAAAATGTTTGCGTAGCTAACACACCTCGAAACACCTTTAATGCTCTTTAACCTTCATTGGAGTTTATACCCGAACTGGAATTTCCACTTAGTTATATGTGAGGTAATCAATACACACTTAATGTTTAGTCCATGTTATTGAAAACAATACAATTAATAAAGCCATTTGCAGTCATGCTTGTGCGATTTCTATCCATGCATCTACTGATGTTATATAACCTAAAGATGAAAAAAAAAAAAGCAAAAATTGATATTCCACTTCGAAAACACGAAATTACATCGTCAACAACTAGTTGACATTTTACCAAGTACTGACGGATCGGACGGAAGAAATATTGGCTCGTTCTGAGCCCGAGGTCATATGCACGACATGGAAAAGCATATGCGTTAAAAAGTAAACTTTGCCTAGCTCCGAAATATTTCGAAGCGTGACATACGGCGTCTGGCCACACCGAATACTGACGAATAGAACAAGCATTCGTATCACGAAGTTGAGTACCTGCCTATTACCGAATGTTTTGAAATAGTGAACGAACTATAGCGCTGTACTTTCCTCTGCTAATGCATCCCTCCGGAAGGCGGCGTTGCGTTGCAGAATCATCATTATTGTCTAACATTGCAGTCATTTACATTTAGTATTACACATGTAGGAGTTATACTCACGTACGTATATTACCTGAAAAATTGAGTACGTACGTAAAGTCAAGGAATCGAAGTGTCTGTTGCAGACCTAATTCAATCGACATGTAAACTAGCGCAGGTTTCGAGCTCATCGAAGTATGTTTTTCCTACAATATAGATCTCAGTGTGCTTCGCGCACAGTGAGATTTCCACTGGAATAGATATTGCGAGTGTCTTATCACTCACAAACGAGGTAAGTAGCCACTTCGAAATGTTTTTTGTTTCCATCTTAATATGAGCGGTTAACAGCTGCAATAATGTGACTAGAAGAAATATACTGACTAGTAATTACCTGACAAGAAGCCTGCTCTATATAAATGTACCCTGATTTCAAATGGCAAAATAATCTGTCTACCATAGGAGTTAGTTAGTGTCAGTTTGTATATATTCGTTATTTGTAGCAGAATATGATGTCAAGTAATTGATTTAACAGAAATCACTAATAAATATTGTTTTATTTAGATACGTCATCGATGACTGCTTAGAAGCTTTGCAGGTTCAATAAATATGAACGTACTAATACCGGTAATTTTACTTGTTCTATTGATGCGATAAAGGAAACCCGGAAAGGTTTAGGGGAATGCACTAAGAGTCATCCTCATTCGGAGAACAAACATTCATTCTTGAAAAGTAAAAAGGGTAAACGTATTTGTGCTTGAATCATGTCTGGGAAGTCGACTGATGCGTACCAGAGATCACCACAAGTAATAAAAATAAACAAGAGCTTAACTCGTCGTCAATTCGAAACGGAGCGCTTTTAGGCTGCCGTCGTCATAGGATCAGCGTTCAAGCAGATTTCAGCTTTAAACCTACTTCCTCTAACCGCGGAATCACCTCTTACGCAACTATAATCTTACTTTGTAAGTTACAAATATTGACGAATAGATATTCGCAAACCACTATGTATATACTGGGCCCATAGGTTTACTATATTCATTTTAATACATATTGTACATTCTTACATCTTACCTAAGGTACGCAGAAAGGACGACTTTCCAGCTAATTTACCTAAGGCACTCGAGTCAAATTATTTTCGTTATGAGTCTGGTTGTCTACATTGAGCTTTATCGTATACGCTGCATATAATGAACGGCTGAGCCTACGGTAGAGAGTAAACAGGCAACGAATGATTAGTGGGATGAGTTTGGTCGACATAAGCACTCATGTAAGGTAGAATATTAAGGTGGCAATTTATGCAACCTTTTTTTTAATATTGACCATTTAAGTTCTGTTATTTACTGGACATTGGTAGGATACGCAGAGTTTACATTTACATCGTCGTCAAGAACTAAACTATGTCTTCTTTATGGCCTGCTTTAGAGTTAAGGTGACACTCAATTTTTGCCTTAAAACATTTCTAGTAAATAGGTAGATGTAACTGTGTGCCTCTTGGAAAGTATGTACAATTGCTCCATAGGTTAAAGCATAGCAAAACTGTGGGTTTCTTTAAACGACAAACTATTTTCTGTACATTTTCCGTGGCGACTGTCCCGCTTTTCCACGCACTATGTCAGAGTTGAAGAGGATCTAAAGAAATTTAACCAAGAAACGTATGGCAAGGCTAGAAAGCGTAATACCCCTGTTAGGCCTAACGCTTCCGACATGTTTCGTTTAACCAAATGTATAGTTTTATTCATTCGTTTCTGTCGCTGCATTCATTAGCCCCATCTCAGCAATTTATCCACATTCCCTTTATAGTCTTGTTTCTATTTTTTACGTACGCGTCAGCTTTTGATGTTTCGTAATAATCGTCCTATTCTATCGACCCAAGTGCCATATCACTCCGCCACCGTTAACCCTACTTTTTATTAAAGTTATCTCATTACCCTGTCCGGCCAATTATTCCGCCAACTGTAGTCGAAATTGATAGTGAGTTTAAATGTTCCCATGTTCAATTTAGGCTGTCCGGGAAACCAAGCCTGTCTAACACGTGAAAGTGTCCATATGAAGATTTTTTTTCAGGAACTCAATTGCTTTGGAAAAGCCCTACACATGCGTTCATAAACTCAGCGCATCGATAGTTTTTAAATACAAATGTGGAAGGCTCAAAAGGCTAAGCAGCTCTTATATATATATGCGCGTTCGCTTTAGATATTTTTCTATGCTGCAATTATTTTGCAAAGACAAAATAATCAATTAAATATGAGCACTCGGAAGTGGCAAATCGAGTTAAGACAAGCATGTCCAACCTTAACTTAATTAACGGATCAATCCGATAATTATAATAATAATGAACGCTTTTCATTACACCGATTATACAGGGTTTAATGGAGCCATTTAGCATCGTGCATGAACGGCATTGTATGCTACCCCATCTGAACGAAAGTTCTTACGCTTACTTTTAACCCGGGCAGCAACTTGATGGCAAAGCATAAAAGGCGTGGTTTTAAAATAGGCAAACGTCCACAGTTCCTATTTATAAATGTAACCAAAAGTCTCGATTGAATTGTTACACATGAAATTTTTTAAACATTTATCAAATTATCACTATGGATCAGTCTCCGTGTATGGTCAACATGTCTGAGCACTGAGACCCAGCGTATTGAATACAAGACGTACGATACATAAGTGCACAGCAGTCAATTTTTATTAAGGTATGATGAAGGGAAGGGTTTTAGCCAGCAGCAAGCTTGAACCTATTGGCCTAATGGTTTGTCCATGAGCAGATGTGAGTTAAACATTCTTTTGTAAGGTCAACTGACCTGTGTCACGAATCTTCTCGTGGAACATTTGTAAACGATGGGCTAAGAAAGAAGTTCATTTATTGCATATTTTCCATTGTCATAGCCTTTGCGTAGTTTGTTTTTGTTTTTATACCCATGCCCTGTGTCTATCGGTGTGGTACGTTGAGACCGGTTATTATCTATGCCAACTGATGAGGAAGAAACAGTACGGCGCACATTTTGGTTAGTACCTCTAGAGACTTCAACCCAATTTTCAGGGGGTGTCACATTCTGGCTTCTTATTGCAGGTGTAACGCAGCCGCAGCAGTGTAACGTGTTCACTTCTCCTGGTTTTTTTTCTAGATAGAAAGGTAAAACGGGTGAAATTCCCGCTGCTCAGAAATCCATCTTGTGAAAGCCACTTCATGTCGGCGTTTACGCCCTGAGCAACGTTCAGCGTCGTACTATCAATCGCTAGATACATTTCATGTCTACCTAGGTGTCCTGATCCACTTCAAATCGCTATCTGTCTGTTGGGGAAAATCTAATTGGTAACAGTTTAACACTTTATATATTGTTGTAGTTCAGTTTCGGAAAAGCAAGCTAAACATAGTAGTTCCAACCTACTAACTTGTTGATTTGAAATTGGAAAGCAGCTATTGAACTTATTATATGCGCACATGCATGCTGTGCATGGTGATATTTTTTGCTTCTTTGTGTTTGTTCAAGTTAGGTCTCTAACTAATGACAACTATGCCCTTACAGGGCTGGCATAGGTTGCTTGCTGTTTTGTTAATAGATGTTGAATGTCAATTCCTCTGTTCGTTCTGGACGCCAGCCGTCCGAAGCAGTGCTTAGCCTGAAATATTTATTTATTTAAATGCCTAAACATACGTATGGGCCTGAGATTGTTAAACGTTACCGCAAAGTATATGCAAACAATGCAAGACCATTAATAATAATAATATCCTATATATATAAAAGCAATCATATAAAAGGAACCACAATTATTATATATGGAAATTTACACGGACGTGAAGTACAAACAAATTCTACAGAAAATGTATGACACAGTTGCAACAGTCAAGTGGTCGAGTAGACCATTAAACAAAAACTCTCGATATCTTAGACTGGCTGGATCGAGTGCATTAAATTTGGTCCTGAGTGCTATGGTCCATTTGTTGCCGAAGCATTGACTAGGCACCTGTAGCTTCTGCGAACCATGGCTTAAGGATAGGTTGATATCTCAAAATTGCCAAATCCCCGTACAACCTACATGGACAGCTGTATGAAAAGGAATAGAAGGCATTTGTGAAATTTATTTTAGAGATCAACTCAGATAACGGTTGTACGGGCCATCAGTTGTGCGTTTGATCATGCGGCGATGTCTAAGTCGACGGATGTCTTTGCTGCACGCTGCTGCTGCCGATGGTGACAGCAACAGCGATTCCTTTGCTGCAACAGCAAATAGAAGAAGCACATTATCTTCTTTGCCTGTCGTGTTCATCTGTTGCCTGATCGCTATCGAACAGGCACAGCGATGTGTAAATTCGCGAACGCTGGAGGCGAGGGGAAATTGGAAAGGGAGAGCTGTTGGGTCTGGGCAACCGTTGATGAGAACTCGAGCCCCCTGGAGTACCGTTGAGTAAAAACGAAATACCGCGCGAGAGCAAGGAAGACAGAATCAACTACCAAACAACAACGACAACCAGTGATGACGACGACAACAACTATTACTACTTCGTACCAGCTAGGAGGAAAAGGACAAAGAAAAGGAAGAGGAGGAGGATGAGAACAGACAGAGCAGGTACGACAATGACGGCGGCAAGAGGACGCACGGCAGCAGGGTTTTCTAGTTGCGAGAGGAGAGCGAGAGGAGGTGATACGAAAGCGATGAGGAGGAAGAGCCATCGGTGCTTCACATGCGACTGTCGTCGTCGTCGTCACTGTCGTCGTCGTCGTCAAGGTGCCTGCCTGCCTGCCTGCCTGCCCACTAACGCAACGCTCTACGGTGCTTGCTCCGAAGACGTTGCCTTTGCTGTTAATGATGGTGTCTCGACAAACGGCAACACGGCGCGGTAAATAGGAGAGGGCTCAGAGCACCTCTCTGCCGTATAAAAGACGTCGTAGCTGACTGAGATCGCTTACTGCAAGTGACTATACTACGGTCAGCCGTGGCCGAGTGCGTGCCGTTAAGCCAGTTAACTAGGTGGGCACGTAACAGCTGCACGAAAGAAGACAGCGATAGACAAGAGAGCTGACTTGAGAAGAGGAGAAAACGATCAAGCACACGCGCCAGTTAAACCGTTTGCCATATTCTTTTAGAAGCTATTGCAAAATTGAACTGTAGTATATACTGTTTATTAAGTTCGTTTGTGCTAGCAATCTTCGTTTCTGACCTAAGTGTGGTCAGATCATCTCGGTTGAAAGACTTACTACTTCGCGAGAACGTGATAATTGGAAAGTGCAGGCCGCGCCTGAAGGTGAGCAGTGGAATTATTTTGGAATCTTCTGTGGCGTGAGATGCATCCATCAGTGACCCAGACGGATATTCACTCGTTAGATCCTGATCTGTTGTCCGCATTTTGTCATGACAGACTCGAAACTTTATTGCTGTTGTTGTTGTTGTTGTTGTGACTCATCATCGATAGCTTACGCGCTTCGGTTCAGTTGCGCGCAATGATCCGGAAAAAACTGATTATTTTTATTATTAAGTATTTCTTTTTTAGCTCATTTATGACTTACGCAGACCTGAGATAACCTTATTGAAGTATTAATATTCGGTAGCTAGAAGACCAGTTCATTGGCTTCCATTTGCCAAGTACACATCATGTAATGTCAGCATAAATCAGAGCAATCTTTCTTATAGCAGACAAAGAATGTGCTGTCTGCTGGAGGGGTTCTCATCAACCAAGAAGGGGTCGTTTCACGTGCTAGTATTTTAACCACACGATCACTGACAGCGAATAGTTTATATGATTATTATCATGAACGGACGGTGCATCCATGTGTCCAGAAGTACAGTCATCGTTTAATATAGTACCCCCCAGTCTAGACTAACCGCTGTTGTTGAGCGACAGATGACAATAAACCAAGAGTTATCAAATAGTTACTAAAATTTTCGAACAAGCAACGCTTTATCATTCATCATGTTTAAGCAGTCATCTTTTCCATATAACCGGGCATATCTGAAAGCGTTGTTATCTGCCTCGATCTCACCATCAATCCATCTTCCGCCAGCCTTTCTAGCCGGTCAATTCAACGCATCTCCGAAGATTCGAAATTCGAAGAAGTACGTTATGACGCCGATCGACCCCCAATATCATCCTTGCCGCTTGAACATATTTTTCTGTTTTCGATATTTCGCTTTGTTTTGCTGCCTGTTCACTTGCTCATAATGAACAAAAGAACCGAGACAAAATCATCCCAATTTCTCCGGGTCGAGTCGGATTTTACGTTAAGCTCCATCGATGGAGTTCTAGCCATTTAGAAGCATAACATTTCTATCCCGATCTAGTCGAATTTTTGGAGAGCCCTTTGTCAGCAGTTTACGACGAGATTGCCAATCCAAGGGTGTTTCAACAACAACGTTTAGCGAGACCAGTACCTTACTAACATAGCCTCGCTGACAGTTACCTCCACGCGTGTAGTTTATTGACGTTAACTATGGGATGTTAGATCTGTTAGGAACAGATTTAGTGCTAGATCAGTTGGCATCAGCCTTAACGATGCATATACATATATTTCGTTGTTATAATATGGCTGCCTATTGTTCCACATGGGCAGGCGGATGTTAATTTTACTCACAAACACTAGCCTACCTTGTAATTCGCGTTTATGCCGATAGCTCCTATCAACGTAATACTAAGGATCAGCGTTTCTATGGCGTTGGTGTGATAAGAGGGGTATACTGTCTCCCTTTCATTCGTCATTCGTTCATGTTTCCTTATATATACATGTATCTGTGTATGGTTACTATGCGTTTGTCATATAATGAGAGTTTACAAAATTTTAAGATAAGGTTCTATCCGAACGATTTACTAATGCTCACCAAAGCCACACGATAGTGGCTTAGGTGACTGTGTTAGGTGGGCGAATTGTCCGGACGGAAACTCAAAATTATTCTATTAATCGGTTTTCCCTTCGGAGGACCTTTTCTCTAGAAAACTTCGAAGTAGACACCCATTCGACCAAGCAATATTGCCGATGCGCAGACTTGCTTCAGATCAATACGAACTTTACAGTGTCCGCTTATTTACCTATAGAAAAACAGCCTGTTGACACGTGCAGCAGTAACACAGTAATTATACAGAGTATACGGGTAATCGCTTAATATCTCGACAATATTGAAATTGAATCCCAAGAGAATTAAGGTAGTGATTTACCTTGCAGCTCCCTAACAACCAGAGAAACAATTTTTCAGGTATAGACAGGTACTCGCTTTGGTTTAATCAAAATGATATTGTATATGTCAATGTGACAACCAGCTAGCGAGTTCAGCCCAGCTCTCAGTAGCTTTCATTAGCAGACAACTGCTATCCAACGCATCAATCGATCAATAAGTAATACCGTCGAAAGGAGACACATTTCATAACATATTTTTTTGTGCTTTGCCAGAATACTTGCTTATTTTATCTACAAGCCGGGCTAAAAGAGTTATCACGGTTCGAAAATTGTCTAAACTTTTTTTTTTTTGTTGTTACATATAATATTCGTCGAAGAATCTCCATTATCCCAGGGTGCCTGCTCGCCATTCGATCCTTTCGTTTCTGCCGTATTGATCGGGTGATACTACTCTGCTCTTTTGGACTTCTGTTGTCTATTTGCCGCTTTACCAGCGAGCTCCCATCCACGTTCTATCCGTTACCGTTCGTTTGTATTACCGTTACTTCGTAATAGTCCGGGCATTAACGGAGAAACAACGATTGAGTGTTCCTTCGATTATGTCTCTCGAGCGGTCGATAGCATATATGTTATATGGTATCGCCAAACGGCAATTTGTCAATGATGAAGAGTAGCAAATCGCACTTTTTCCATATACATGACTAGAGAATATTATATAACCTTGTTACCACCTATGAAATTATATACATATATATATAACTAGCGATAAACTGCTGTAGTTTGTTTCGTTAAAAAACGTTCAGACATAAAATTTCTAAGTTTCCATGTCGTGTTAGAAAAAGCCTTCTTTCATTACGCTCGAGTTGTTTACCAGCAGTCCACACATTATAGGAAGTATATGGGAGTCTGCAGCATCTGACGATAGAAAAGTGCGCTTTACCATAAAGCTTTGGCTACGTATCATTTTTGATATCCTTAAAGCAATTAGCGTATGAAAACTCGAAGAGCTTCCGCTTCCGGTCCGATCCGATCATTCTTACACACAAGGATATTTCTATTCAATAATAACAAGCTGGAAAAACGTTTATATCTAGGTCACTTCACTGGGATTGATAACCAGAGCTGAATTTCCACATTCATTCCCAAACGCCATCTATATTTACCTAATGAATATCCGGCTTCTGATAAATTTCCATGGCATATTATATTATCCAACAGAAACTATTTTACCATTAGGTCGCTAGATAAATCAGCACATTTAATAAGGCAACCCTATCAGTACCAGTGATAATAATTATGGTAATTCATTAATATTAATGTTTAAATAATTTAGTTTTGAGTTAACCGTTCGTTGAACAGTTAGTAAAAACGGGTAATAAATTGAATAGTAGTTCTGTTATTGAGGACTGAATGAACGCGCACCAGCAGGAACCAACACGGTTCAAAGGTGGTACGAAGCTTGAGTGGTATCTTTACCTTGAACTTCGTTTGCCTTCATTCGGAAGTGATCACTACTAACAGCTTCAGTCTACAGAACGATGAAATCACTTTCCCTCGATGCATTTACAAGCCAGCTATTTTTCATAACACATGTCTTGCACATATGTGATGCTAGTAATATATATATATATATATATAAATATACACATATTTAATACGCGTTGCGCAGTAAGTGTGGCCTATACTTTGTGTGGTTTACGTTTATTCAGTACATCTTTATATGCTCATTGATCTGGCGCGGACGTGGATCGGCTGTTTTGAAGGCTTAAGACGGTAATAGAGCTAATTAAAGTTTCGCACGAAACTAATTCTCGCTTCGTAGGCCTTGCAGAAAACTATGAATCAAAGATCTTTAAGCACAGAATGTTGAGGTGTACAAACGTTTGCATTAAGCCGTTTGGCCAGTAAGTGTACGGTTGCTGGATACACTTCGGCTATGTATAGAATTCAGACGTCTCCAGTATTAGTTCTGAATCGGTTGGATCAGCAAGATTAGAGAATCTCTTCTTATACCGATAATAGATCTCATAAGATCTTTTTGAAGCTCTTCTATAGGCCAAAATCACCTCTCGTTCTCTTCTAGGCTGGCTCGTATACGCGAGGATTCGTAAGTTTCTCTCTGCCATTTACATATGCGTAAGAACTTTTGCAAGCCATCCGTCACCAGTTAAGAAATACGTCGATACTGATCCCAGTAGCTGTTGTCTGTGAAACATGTACATGCTCTAGGAACCTTTGAACAATTTTATGCCTGCTCTCCTGTTATCAGATCAGATGAACTAAGAGAAACCGTACTCAGATAACAACTTCTCCTGGAATAGTGAAAATTGTAGCGACGTAAACGCATCCACTGAGGTCGATTGAATCAATAAAACTCTGTGACAAAGATGTGTCGCAAGTTACTTCTATACGCACCAATATATCTAGTCTCGATGAACAAGCTGAGCGTCTGATTAATACTAATTGAAAATTTGCTCTTCTCTCTTGATTGTGTTCACAAATCTATCTTCTATATGCCTATGCCGGCCCGCAGCATTAGCCATTCGTTGACGCTTGGCGACTACAAGTATCTACAACGAACGGGTTTCCGGAAGGTTCCTAGACACCTCTTCTGATCGATTCGTAGTCGCAAAGCAGATTATTTTCAGAGTTTTTCATATAACCCCATTCCCCATAAGGGAACTATTCCTTATTGGGCTGAGTAGAGATATCTGATTGTTCAGTTAGCGTTTGGTAGACAAAACACCTTTTTTTTTTTATTGTTCTGAATTGATGTCCTGAACGATTTTCGCAAACCAAGTAGATTCGATAAGATAGGAAATTGGTCAGCTTCCGTTTTTTTTTTTCAGTTGCACGTTTCCGCAGTAAACGACTTTCACTGCCTGTGACTCGTATAAGAACAAGGTGTCCCCGAACACCTAATAGCTGCTTCTGGTTTTGGCTATAATCTTACGATTGGTTTGGAGACGGGCTGGAGCAATATTCCCACGTGTATTGATTACTATTATCTGTTCCTTCTGCTATCGCAGCACTGAAATTTGCTCGCGCCTAACTGGCACAGTGGGCGAATTTGCATGAATCTAAGCATGAGTAGTTATTTGGCATTCGTATCGTACGTTTTGTGCTTCGCAACATCACT